GTCAGCTTTCTTTTTCTCGGCTTCAGATTTCTTGGCTTCCTCAGCCTGCTTCTTGGCCTCCTCAGCCTGCTTCTTAGCCTCCTCAGCCTGCTTCTTAGCCTCCTGATCGGCTACTGCCTTTGCTTCTTCTTCAGCCTTCTTCTTTGCAGCTTCTTCGTCGGTTTTCGTGGTTTTGTCAGCTTTCTTTTTCTCGGCTTCCAGATTTCTTGGCTTCCTCAGCCTGCTTCTTGGCCTCCTCAGCCTGCTTCTTAGCCTCCTCAGCCTGCTTCTTAGCCTCCTCATCGGCTACTGCCTTTGCTTCTTCTTCAGCCTTCTTCTTTGCAGCTTCTTCGTCGGTTTTCTTGGTTTTATCACCTTTCTTTTTCTCGGCTTCAGATTTCTTGGCTTCCTCAGCCTGCTTCTTGGCCTCCTCAGCCTCTTCTTAGCCTCCTCAGCCTGCTCTTAGCCTCCTGATCGGCTACTGCCTTTGCTTCTTCTTCAGCCTTCTTCTTTGCAGCTTCTTCGTCGGTTTTCGTGGTTTTGTCAGCTTTCTTTTTCTCCGCTTCAGATTTCTTGGCTTCCTCAGCCTGCTTCTTGGCCTCCTCAGCCTGCTTCTTAGCCTCCTCAGCCGCTTAGCCTCCTGATCGGCTACTGCCTTTGCTTCTTCTTCAGCCTTCTTCTTTGCAGCTTCTTCGTCGGTTTTCTTGGTTTTGTCACCTTTCTTTTTCTCGGCTTCAGATTCTTTGGCTTCCTCAGCCTGCTTCTTGGCCTCCTCAACGGCTACGTCCTTTGCTTCTTCTTCAGCCTTCTTCTTTGCAGCTTCTTCATCGGTTTTCTTGGTTTTGTCAGCTTTCTTTTTCTCGGCTTCAGATTTCTTGGCTTCCTCAGCCTGCTTCTTGGCCTCCTCAGCCTGCTTCTTAGCCTCCTCAGCCTGCTTCTTAGCCTCCTCATCGGCTACGGCCTTTGCTTCTTCTTCAGCCTTCTTCTTTGCAGCTTCTTCGTCGGTTTTCTTGGTTTTGTCAGCTTTCTTTTTCTCGGCTTCAGATTTCTTGGCTTCCTCAGCCTGCTTCTTGGCCTCCTCTTCGGCTACATCCTTTGCTTCTTCTTCAGCCTTCTTCTTTGCAGCTTCTGCGTCGGTCTTCTTGGTTTCGTCAGCCTTCTTTTTCTCGGCTTCAGATTTCTTGGCATCCTCAGCCTGCTTCTTGGCATCCTCAGCCTGCTTCTTAGCCTCCTCATCGGCTACTGCCTTTGCTTCTTCTTCAGCCTTCTTCTTTGCAGCTTCTTCCTCGGTCTTCTTGGTTTTGTCGGCTTTCTTTTTCTCGGCTTCAGATTTCTTGGCCTCCTCAGCCTGCTTCTTAGCCTCCTGTCAGCACTGCTGTTGCTTCTTCGTCGACCCTATTTTCCTTTCGTCAGCTTTCTTTTCTGCGCTGGCATTTTGCACCAACCAATGGAAGGCGACTTCCTCTATTGTTTCAATCAACAAATCAATTTCAAGGCCAGCTGTTTTCTGGTCTGTGAGGACAACTTTTACTGATCCCACCACCCCCGTTTCCAAAATAGATTCGGTGTTCTTTCCGCCTCTTCAGGCAACGCTTGGTTTTCTCAGCTTCACTGACTCTTCGTGGCTTGACCCTCAAACTCACCAGATTGATCCGCGGATAGGGTTGTGACCTTGCTTCCTTCTTTCGACTCTCCAGCTTTCTTCTTTGCAGCTTCTTCGTCGGTCTTCTTGGTTTTGTCGGCTTTCTTTTTCTCGGCTTCAGATTTCTTGGCTTCCTCAGCCTGCTTCTTAGCCTCCTCATCGGCTACTGCCTTTGCTTCTTCTTCAGCCTTCTTCTTTGCAGCTTCTTCCTCGGTCTTCTTGGTTTTGTCGGCTTTCTTTTTCTCGGCTTCAGATTTCTTGGCCTCCTCAGCCTGCTTCTTAGCCTCCTGATCGGCTACTGCTGTTGCTTCTTCGTCGACCCTATTTTTCCTTTCGTCAGCTTTCTTTTCTGCGCTGGCATTTTGCTTACCAACCAATGTGAAGGCGACTTCCTCTATTGTTTCAATCAACAAATCAATTTCAAGGCCAGCTGTTTTTTCTGGTCTGTTGAGGACAACTTTTTTACTGATCTCAACCACCCCCGTTTCCAAAATAGATTCGGTGGTTTCTTCTTCCGCCTCTTCAGGCAAACGCTTGGATTTTCTCAGCTTCACTGACTCTTCTGTGGCTTGACCCTCAAACTCACCAGATTGATCCGCGGATAGGGTTGTGACCTTGCTTCCTTCTTTCGACTCTCCAGCTTTCTTCTTTGCAGCTTCTTCGTCGGTCTTCTTGGTTTTGTCGGCTTTCTTTTTCTCGGCTTCAGATTTCTTGGCTTCCTCAGCCTGCTTCTTAGCCTCCTCATCGGCTACGGCCTTTGCTTCTTCTTCAGCCTTCTTCTTTGCAGCTTCTTCGTCGGTTTTCTTGGTTTTGTCAGCTTTCTTTTTCTCGGCTTCAGATTTCTTGGCTTCCTCAGCCTGCTTCTTGGCCTCCTCTTCGGCTACGTCCTTTGCTTCTTCTTCAGCCTTCTTCTTTGCAGCTTCTTCATCGGTTTTCTTGGTTTTGTCAGCTTCTTTTTCTCGGCTTCAGATTTCTTGGCTTCCTCAGCCTGCTTCTTGGCCTCCTCAGCCTGCTTCTTAGCCTCCTCAGCCTGCTTCTTAGCCTCTGATCGGCACTGCCTTTGCTTCTTCTTCAGCCTTCTTCTTTGCAGCTTCTTCGTCGGTTTTCGTGGTTTTGTCAGCTTTCTTTTTCTCGGCTTCAGATTTCTTGGCTTCCTCAGCCTGTCTTGGCCTCCTCAGCCTGTTCTTAGCCTCCTCAGCCTCTTCTTAGCCTCCTGATCGGCTACTGCCTTTGCTTCTTCTTCAGCCTTCTTCTTTGCAGCTTCTTCGTCGGTTTTCTTGGTTTTGTCACCTTTCTTTTCTCGGCTTCAGATTTGTTGGCTTCCTCAGCCTTTTGGCCTCCTCAGCCTGCTTCTTAGCCTCCTCAGCCTGTTCTTAGCCTCCTGATCGGTACTGCCTTTGCTTCTTCTTCAGCCTTCTTCTTTGCAGCTTCTTCGTCGGTTTTCGTGGTTTTGTCAGCTTTCTTTTTCTCCGCTTCAGTTTCTTGGCTTCCTCAGCCTGCTTCTTGGCCTCCTCAGCCTGCTTCTTAGCCTCCTCAGCCTGTTTAGCCTCCTGATCGGCTACTGCCTTTGCTTCTTCTTCAGCCTTCTTCTTTGCAGCTTCTTCGTCGGTTTTCTTGGTTTTGTCACCTTTCTTTTTCTCGGCTTCAGATTCTTTGGCTTCCTCAGCCTGCTTCTTGGCCTCCTCAACGGCTACGTCCATTGCTTCTTCTTCAGCCTTCTTCTTTGCAGCTTCTTCATCGGTTTTCTTGGTTTTGTCAGCTTTCTTTTCTCGGCTTCAGATTTCTTGGCTTCCTCAGCCTGTTGGCCTCCTCAGCCTGCTTCTTAGCCTCCTCAGCCTGCTTCTTAGCCTCCTCATCGGCTACGGCCTTTGCTTCTTCTTCAGCCTTCTTCTTTGCAGCTTCTTCGTCGGTTTTCTTGGTTTTGTCAGCTTTCTTTTTCTCGGCTTCAGATTTCTTGGCTTCCTCAGCCTGCTTCTTGGCCTCCTCTTCGGCTACGTCCTTTGCTTCTTCTTCAGCCTTCTTCTTTGCAGCTTCTCGTCGGTCTTCTTGGTTTCGTCAGCCTTCTTTTTCTCGGCTTCAGATTTCTTGGCATCCTCAGCCTGCTTCTTGGCATCCTCAGCCTGCTTCTTAGCCTCCTCATCGGCTACTGCCTTTGCTTCTTCTTCAGCCTTCTTCTTTGCAGCTTCTTCCTCGGTCTTCTTGGTTTTGTCAGCTTTCTTTTTTCTCGGCTTCAGATTTCTTGGCCTCCTCAGCGTGCTTCTTAGCCTCCTGATCGGCTACTGCTGTTGCTTCTTCGTCGACCCTATTTTTCCTTTCGTCAGCTTTCTTTTCTGCGCTGGCATTTTGCTTACCAACCAATGTGAAGGCGACTTCCGCTATTGTTTCAATCAACAAATCAATTTCAAGGCCAGCTGTTTTTTCTGGTCTGTTGAGGACAACTTTTTTACTGATCTCAACCACCCCCGTTTCCAAAATAGATTCGGTGGTTTCTTCTTCCGCCTCTTCAGGCAAACGCTTGGATTTTCTCAGCTTCACTGACTCTTCTGTGGCTTGACCCTCAAACTCACCAGATTGATCCGCGGATAGGGTTGTGACCTTGCTTCCTTCTTTCGACTCTCCAGCCTTCTTCTTTGCAGCTTCTTCGTCGGTCTTCTTGGTTTTGTCGGCTTTCTTTTTCTCGGCTTCAGATTTCTTGGCTTCCTCAGCCTGCTTCTTAGCCTCCTCATCGGCTACGGCCTTTGCTTCTTCTTCAGCCTTCTTCTTTGCAGCTTCTTCGTCGGTTTTCTTGGTTTTGTCAGCTTTCTTTTTCTCGGCTTCAGATTTCTTGGCTTCCTCAGCCTGCTTCTTGGCCTCCTCTTCGGCTACTGCCTTTGCTTCGTCTTCAGCCTTCTTCTTTGCAGCTACTTCGTCGGTCTTCTTGGTTTTGTCAGCATTCTTTTTGTCGGCTTCAGATTTCTTGGCATCATCAGCCTGCTTCTTGGCATCATCAGCCTGCTTCTTGGCATCCTCAGCCTGCTTCTTAGCCTCCTGATCGGCTACTGCCTTTGCTTCTTCTTCAGCCTTCTTCTGTGCAGCTTCTTCGTCGGTTTTCTTGCTTTTGTCAGCTTTCTTTTTCTCGGCTTCAGATTTCTTGGCTTCCTCAGCCTGCTTCTTGGCCTCCTCAGCCTGCTTCTTAGCCTCCTCATCGGCTACTGCCTTTGCTTCTTCTTCAACCTTCTTCTTTGCAGCTTCTTCGTCGTTCTTCTTGGTTTTGTCGGCTTTCTTTTGCTTATCCTCGTCTCTCTTGCCCTCCAGTTTATGGTTTTTCTCGTCGCTTGGCCTTGTAACCTCAAACAAACAGGTTGCGGTTCTTTCTACATCAATTAATATATCTAGCTTACCGGTGGCATCCTTCCTTAAAAGGGCCACACGTACGTTAGCTACAGCAAGGTCCCCATCACTTGCAAGGGAGATCTCAGTCTCGACCATTCCAGATACAATCTTAGAAATCGTATCCTCTTCGAGACTCTTCTTGGGTTTCTCGGTTCTCGTCTCTACCTGAATTTCATCGGCCTTCGATTCCTCAGCCTTCTTTGATTCTTCCGCCTTCTTCGGCTCCTCAGGCTTCTTAATTTCTTCCGCCTTCTTCGGCTCCTCAGCCTTCTGGGTTTCTTCCGCCTTCTTCGTCTCCTCAGGCTTCTTTGGTTCCTCAGGCTTCTTTGGTTCGTCAGGCTTCTTTGGTTCCTCAGGCTTCTTTGGTTCCTCAGGCTTCTTTGGTTCCTCAGGCTTCTTTGGTTCCTCAGCCTTCTTCGGTTCTTCATCCTTCTTCGGCTCCTCAGCCTTCTTCGGCTCTTCAGCCTTCTTCGGCTCCTCAGCCTTCTTCGGTTCCTCAGCCTTCTTCGGTTCCTCAGCCTTCTTCGGTTCCTCAGCCTTCTGGGGTTCTTCCGCCTTCTTCGGCTCTTCCGCCTTCTGGGGTTCTTTCGCCTTGTTCGGCTCCTCAGGCTTCTTTGGTTCCTCAGCCTTCTTCGGTTCCTCAGCCTTCTTCGGCTCCTCAGCCTTCTTCGGCTCCTCAGCCTTCTTCGGCTCCTCAGCCTTCTTCGGTTCCTCAGCCTTCTGGGGTTCTTCCGCCTTCGTCGGCTCCTCAGGCTTCTTTGGTTCCTCAGCCTTCTTCGGTTCTTCATCCTTCTTCGGCTCCTCAGCCTTCTTCGGTTCCTCAGCCTTCTTCGGCTCCTCAGCCTTCTTCGGCTCCTCAGCCTTCTTCGGCTCTTCCGCCTTCTCGACTTCATCGGTCTTTGGCTCCTCATCCTTTTTGACTTTTTCGGCTTTCTCTACTTCATCGACCATTTGCTTTGGTTTCTGCTTTCTTGCACCGGCAAGTTCCAACGCTACTTTCTCGAGAGTTTCCATCAACAAATCAATCTCTAGACCTGCTGTTTTTTCCAGGCCATGAAAGACCAGCTCCGTGTAACTCTCAATCGGTTTTGCTTCTTCAGCTTCAGAGAGAATGGCAGGTTCTTTTTCATCCTCAACCTTCTTCGGCTCCTCAGCCTTCTTCGGCTCCTCAGCCTTCTTCGGCTCCTCCGCCTTCTTCGGCTCCTCAGCCTTCTTGGTTTCTTCCGCCTTCTTCGGCTCCTCAGCCTCCTGGGGTTCTTCCGCCTTCTTCGGCTCCTCAGCCTTCTTGGTTTCTTCCGCCTTCTTCGGCTCCTCAGCCTTCTGGGGTTCTTCGGCCTTCTTCGGCTCCTCAGCCTTCTTCGTCTCTTCCGCCTTCTTCGTCTCTTCCGCCTTCTGGGGTTCTTCCGCCTTCTGGGGTTCTTCCGCCCTCTTCGGCTCCTCAGCCTTCTTCGGCTCCTCAGCCTTCTTCGGCTCCTCAGCCTTCTTCGGCTCCTCAGCCTTCTTCGGCTCCTCAGCCTTCTTCGGCTCTTCCGCCTTCTGGGGTTCTTTCGCCTTCTGGGGTTCTTTCGCCTTCTTCGGCTCCTCAGGCTTCTTTGGTTCCTCAGCCTTCTTCGGTTCCTCAGCCTTCTTCGGCTCCTCAGCCTTCTTCGGTTCCTCAGCCTTCTTCGGCTCCTCAGCCTTCTTCGGCTCTTCCGCCTTCTCGACTTCATCGGTCTTTGGCTCCTCATCCTTTTTGACTTTTTCGGCTTTCTCTACTTCATTGACCATTTCCCTTGGTTTCTGCTTTCTTGCACCAGCAAGTTCCAACGCTACTTGCTCGAGAGTTTGCATCAACAAATCAATCTCTAGACCTGCTGTCTTTTCCGGGCCATGAAAGACCAGCTCCGTGTAACTCTCAATCGGTTTTGCTTCTTCAGCTTCAGAGAGAATGGCAGGTTCTTTTTCATCCTCAACCTTCTTCGGCTCCTCAGCCTTCTTCGGCTCCTCAGCCTTCTTCGGCTCTTCCGCCTTCTTCGGCTCCTCAGCCTTCTTGGTTTCTTCCGCCTTCTTCGGCTCCTCAGCCTCCTGGGGTTCTTCCGCCTTCTTCGGCTCTTCAGCCTTCTTGGTTTCTTCCGCCTTCTTCGGCTCCTCAGCCTTCTGGGGTTCTTCGGCCTTCTTCGTCTCTTCCGCCTTCTTCGTCTCTTCCGCCTTCTGGGGTTCTTCCGCCTTCTGGGGTTCTTCCGCCCTCTTCGGCTCCTCAGCCTTCTTCGGCTCCTCAGCCTTCTTCGGCTCCTCAGCCTTCTTCGGCTCCTCAGCCTTCTTCGGCTCTTCCGCCTTCTGGGGTTCTTCCGCCTTCTTCGGCTCCTCAGGCTTCTTTGGTTCCTCAGCCTTCTTCGGTTCCTCAGCCTTCTTCGGCTCCTCAGCCTTCTTCGGTTCCTCAGCCTTCTTCGGCTCCTCAGCCTTCTTCGGCTCCTCAGCCTTCTTCGGCTCTTCCGCCTTCTTCGGCTCCTCAGCCTTCTTGGTTTCTTCCGCCTTCTTCGGCTCCTCAGCCTCCTGGGGTTCTTCCGCCTTCTTCGGCTCCTCAGCCTTCTTGGTTTCTTCCGCCTTCTTCGGCTCCTCAGCCTTCTGGGGTTCTTCGGCCTTCTTCGGCTCCTCAGCCTTCTTCGTCTCCTCCGCCTTCTTCGTCTCTTCCGCCTTCTGGGGTTCTTCCGCCTTCTGGGGTTCTTCCGCCCTCTTCGGCTCCTCAGCCTTCTTCGGCTCCTCAGCCTTCCTCGGCTCCTCAGCCTTCTTCGGCTCCTCAGCCTTCTTCGGCTCTTCAGCCTTCTTCGGCTCCTCAGCCTTCTTCGGTTCCTCAGCCTTCTGGGGTTCTTCCGCCTTCTTCGGCTCCTCAGGCTTCTTTGGTTCCTCAGCCTTCTTCGGTTCTTCATCCTTCTTTGGCTCCTCAGCCTTCTTCGGTTCCTCAGCCTTCTTCGGCTCCTCAGCCTTCTTCGGCTCCTCAGCCTTCTGGGGTTCTTCCGCCTTCTTCGGCTCCTCAGCCTTCTTCGGCTCTTCCGCCTTCTGGGGTTCTTTCGCCTTCTTCGGCTCCTCAGGCTTCTTTGGTTCCTCAGCCTTCTTCGGCTCCTCAGCCTTCTTCGGCTCCTCAGCCTTCTTCGGCTCTTCCGCCTTCTCGACTTCATCGGTCTTTGGCTCCTCATCCTTTTTGACTTTTTCGGCTTTCTCTACTTCATTGACCATTTCCCTTGGTTTCTGCTTTCTTGCACCGGCAAGCTTCAACGCTACTTGCTCGAGAGTTTCCATCAACAAATCAATCTCTAGACCTGCTGTCTTTTCCAGGCCATGAAAGACCAGCTCCGTGTAACTCTCAATCGGTTTTGCTTCTTCAGCTTCAGAGAGAATGGCAGGTTCTTTTTCATCCTCAACCTTCTTCGGCTCCTCAGCCTTCTTCGGCTCCTCAGCCTTCTTCGGCTCTTCCGCCTTCTTCGGCTCCTCAGCCTTCTTGGTTTCTTCCGCCTTCTTCGGCTCCTCAGCCTTCTGGGGTTCTTCCGCCTTCTTCGGCTCCTCAGCCTTCTTGGTTTCTTCCGCCTTCTTCGGCTCCTCAGCCTTCTGGGGTTCTTCGGCCTTCTTCGGCTCCTCAGCCTTCTTCGTCTCTTCCGCCTTCTTCGTCTCTTCCGCCTTCTGGGGTTCTTCCGCCTTCTGGGGTTCTTCCGCCCTCTTCGGCTCCTCAGCCTTCTTCGGCTCCTCAGCCTTCTTCGGCTCCTCAGCCTTCTTCGGCTCCTCAGCCTTCTTCGGCTCCTCAGCCTTCTTCGGTTCCTCAGCCTTCTTCGGCTCCTCAGCCTTCTTCGGCTCCTCAGCCTTCTTCGGCTCTTCCGCCTTCTTCGGCTCCTCAGCCTTCTTGGTTTCTTCCGCCTTCTTCGGCTCCTCAGCCTCCTGGGGTTCTTCCGCCTTCTTCGGCTCCTCAGCCTTCTTGGTTTCTTCCGCCTTCTTCGGCTCCTCAGCCTTCTGGGGTTCTTCGGCCTTCTTCGGCTCCTCAGCCTTCTTCGTCTCTTCCGCCTTCTTCGTCTCTTCCGCCTTCTGGGGTTCTTCCGCCTTCTGGGGTTCTTCCGCCCTCTTCGGCTCCTCAGCCTTCTTCGGCTCCTCAGCCTTCCTCGGCTCCTCAGCCTTCTTCGGCTCCTCAGCCTTCTTCGGCTCTTCAGCCTTCTTCGGCTCCTCAGCCTTCTTCGGTTCCTCAGCCTTCTGGGGTTCTTCCGCCTTCTTCGGCTCCTCAGGCTTCTTTGGTTCCTCAGCCTTCTTCGGTTCTTCATCCTTCTTCGGCTCCTCAGCCTTCTTCGGTTCCTCAGCCTTCTTCGGCTCCTCAGCCTTCTTCGGCTCCTCAGCCTTCTGGGGTCCTTCCAGCCTTCTTCGGCTCCTCAGCCTTCTTCGGCTCTTCCGCCTTCTGGGGTTCTTTCGCCTTCTTCGGCTCCTCAGGCTTCTTTGTTCCTCAGCCTTCTTCGGCTCCTCAGCCTTCTTCGGCTCCTCAGCCTTCTTCGGCTCTTCCGCCTTCTTGACTTCATCGGTCTTTGGCTCCTCATCCTTTTTGACTTTTTCGGCTTTCTCTACTTCATCGACCATTTCCCTTGGTTTCTGCTTTCTTGCACCGGCAAGCTTCAACGCTACTTGCTCGAGAGTTTCCATCAACAAATCAATCTCTAGACCTGCTGTCTTTTCCAGGCCATGAAAGACCAGCTCCGTGTAACTCTCAATCGGTTTTGCTTCTTCAGCTTCAGAGAGAATGGCAGGTTCTTTTTCATCCTCAACCTTCTTCGGCTCCTCAGCCTTCTTCGGCTCCTCAGCCTTCTTCGGCTCCTCAGCCTTCTTCGGCTCCTCAGCCTTCTTCGGCTCTTCCGCCTTCTTCGGCTCCTCAGCCTTCTGGGGTTCTTCGGCCTTCTTCGGCTCCTCAGCCTTCTTCGTCTCTTCCGCCTTCTTCCTCTCTTCCGCCTTCTGGGGTTCTTCCGCCCTCTTCGGCTCCTCAGCCTTCTGGGGTTCTTCCGCCTTCTTCGGCTCCTCAGGCTTCTTTGGTTCCTCAGCCTTCTTCGGTTCTTCATCCTTCTTTGGCTCCTCATCCTTCTTTGGCTCCTCAGCCTTCTTCGGCTCCTCAGCCTTCTTCGGCTCCTCAGCCTTCTTCGGCTCTTCCGCCTTCTCGACTTCATCGGTCTTTGGCTCCTCATCCTTTTTGACTTTTTCGGCTTTCTCTACTTCATTGACCATTTCCCTTGGTTTCTGCTTTCTTGCACCGGCAAGCTTCAACGCTACTTGCTCGAGAGTTTCCATCAACAAATCAATCTCTAGACCTGCTGTCTTTTCCAGGCCATGAAAGACCAGCTCCGTGTAACTCTCAATCGGTTTTGCTTCTTCAGCTTCAGAGAGAATGGCAGGTTCTTTTTCATCCTCAACCTTCTTCGGCTCCTCAGCCTTCTTCGGCTCCTCAGCCTTCTTCGTCTCTTCCGCCTTCTTCGTCTCTTCCGCCTTCTGGGGTTCTTCCGCCTTCTGGGGTTCTTCCGCCCTCTTCGGCTCCTCAGCCTTCTTCGGCTCCTCAGCCTTCTTCGGCTCCTCAGCCTTCTTCGGCTCTTCAGCCTTCTTCGGCTCCTCAGCCTTCTTCGGCTCCTCAGCCTTCTTCGGTTCCTCAGCCTTCTGGGGTTCTTCCGCCTTCTTCGGCTCCTCAGGCTTCTTTGGTTCCTCAGCCTTCTTCGGTTCCTCATCCTTCTTCGGCTCCTCATCCTTCTTTGGCTCCTCAGCCTTCTTCGGCTCCTCAGCCTTCTTCGGCTCCTCAGCCTTCTTCGGCTCTTCCGCCTTCTCGACTTCATCGGTCTTTGGCTCCTCATCCTTTTTGACTTTTTCGGCTTTTTCTACTTCATCGACCATTTCCTTTGGTTTCTGCTTTCTTGCACCGGCAAGTTCCAACCCTACTTGCTCGAGAGTTTCCATCAACAAATCAATCTCTAGACCTGCTGTTTTTTCCTGGCCATGAAAGACCAGCTCCGTGTAACTCTCAATCGGTTTTGCTTCTTCAGCTTCAGAGAGAATGGCAGGTTCTTTTTCATCCTCAACCTTCTTCGGCTCCTCAGCCTTCTTCGGCTCCTCAGCCTTCTTCGTCTCTTCCGCCTTCTTCGTCTCTTCCGCCTTCTGGGGTTCTTCCGCCTTCTTGGGTTCTTCCGCCCTCTTCGGCTCCTCAGCCTTCTTCGGCTTCCTCAGCCTTCTTCGGGCTCCTCAGCCTTCTTCGGCTCTTCAGCCTTCTTCGGCTCCTCAGCCTTCTTCGGCTCCTCAGCCTTCTTCGGTTCCTCAGCCTTCTGGGGTTCTTCCGCCTTCTTCGGCCCTGAAAACCCAGGCTCCTTTGGTTCCTCCCTCTTCGGTTTTCTTCATCCTTCAAGAGAATGGTCTCAGGTCCTTCTTCGGCTCCTCAGCCTTCTTCGGCTCCTCAGCCTTCTTCGGCTCCTCAGCCTTCTTCGGCTCTTCCGCCTTCTCGACTTCATCGGTCTTTGGCTCCTCATCCTTTTTGACTTTTTCGGCTTTCTCTACTTCATCGACCATTTGCTTTGGTTTCTGCTTTCTTGCACCGGCAAGTTCCAACGCTACTTGCTCGAGAGTTTCCATCAACAAATCAATCTCTAGACCTGCTGTCTTTTCCTGGCCATGAAAGACCAGCTCCGTGTAACTCTCAATCGGTTTTGCTTCTTCAGCTTCAGAGAGAATGGCAGGTTCTTTTTCATCCTCAACCTTCTTCGGCTCCTCAGGCTTCTTTGGTTCTTCAATCTTTTTGGGCTCTTCCGCCTTCTTGACTTCATCGGTTTCCGGTTCCTCAGCCTTCTTGAATTGGTCGGTCTTGAACTCTTCAACCTTTGTGACTTCATCGGTTTTCGCTGCCTCACCCTTCGGTTCGTCAGCCTTGCTGGGCTCCTCTTCCTGCTTGCCTTCATAAGTCTTGGGGTCTTCAGGTTTCGTAGGCTCTTCACCTTTCCTGGGTTTTGCAGCCTTCGTCGCCTCCTCAACCTTCTTGACTTCATCGGTTTTCGTGTCCTTAGCCTTTTTGAGTTCTTCAGCTTTATTGAGCTCTTCAGCCCTGTTGGCTTCGACCTTCTGGTTTTTCTTGTCGCCTGGCCTTGTAATCCCAAACAAACAGGTTGCGGTTCTTTCTACATCAATTATTATTTCTAGTTTTCCGGTGGCGTCCTTTTTCAGAAGGTTCACAGCTACGTTAGCTATAGCAAGGTCACCGGGGAGCGCAAGGAAGGTCTCGGTTTGTATCACTCCAGTTTCTTCAATCTCGGAAATCTTATCGTCTTGTCCAAACTTCGTGGGCTCTTGAGGTTTCGTGTCTACTCCAACTTTCGTGACTTGATCAGTCTTGGGTTTTTCAACCTTCTTGGGCTCTTCAGCTATCTTAAGCTCTTCAGCTTTCGTTGCTTCTTCAACCTTCTTGATTTCATCTGTCTTTTGTTCTTCAGCTTTCTTGAGCTCTTCAACTTTTTTGGGCTCTTCAACCTGTGTTGCTTCTTCAAAATTCTTGACTTTTTCAACCCTTTTTACCTTCGTGCGTCTGAGGATTTTCAACTTTCGTGGGTTCTTTAGTTTTCTCGGCTTCTTGAAGCTTTTTGAGTTCTCCAGCGTTTTTAGCCTTCTCGAACTCTTTCGCTTCCTTGTCTTCAACTTTTTCCACATGCTTCAAATCTTTGTGAATGTGCCTTTCATCTTCGTGCTGTTGATTTTCATTGACAGCCCTTCTATCCTCAGTCGTCTTGGTTGAAGCTTCTTGATCTTCGAAACTTTGTACGGTCTTTTTCCTAATTTTCGTTACGCATTCAATGTAGTTCGTTTCAATTATTTCTACTTCAACTCCCGCTATGTCAAAGTGGACTTTCTTAAAAAGCAAATCCACACCTTGTTCTTGGACCGCGCGGTCAAGTTTTTCTTCGACTATCGATTCTACATTGCTTCGAGACTTTGGTGGTTCCATTTGTCCTTTGCCTCCTATGATTTTTCCCTTGTGGATGTCAAAGGCCATCTTTTCATAGCCACTTTCAAGCACCTCAATATCAATTGTAGCTTTCGCAAAATCTTTCTCGAAATAGAGCTGAACAAGCTGATCTTTGCACTGAGTGATCTCTTCGTCCGCGATTTGCAAATTTTGTCCTTCGGCGATCATCATCGACTCTATTTCTTGATAGTTTCTATCGGCGCCCTCCTGAAAAACCACCACGAAACGGGTATCGTCTTCTTCTTCAACATCCACCACAAAGTGTTCGCTATCATCATCTTTCACAACGTTCACTTGTAGATTCACTTCATCTTTTTCGGACGCAGAATCCACTTTTTTGTGCACCAAGTCTTGAGGCTTGCTAACAATGCACAAACTTCGGGTTTGCCCTTTTCTATTTTTCGCCACACACGTGAACTTTTTACTTTTCTCCGGCATTTCGAGAACATTGAGAATGGTCACACCATCTTCCGAAGTCGATTCGTAGTTTCTGAAATTTCCCCGTCAGAACTCCAAGGTCACAAACCCATTCTTATTCGGTGTTTGTTTAATATTGGAAAAGCTAGCTATTTAGGCACATTTCAAATAACACTAAAATTTAAATCTAGACTTCTCAAAGCTTTGTTAATAAGTAAGAACAAACTTGTCATTTTCAGCAATCAGCTTTTCATCTGCATACCAATCGATTTCAGCGAGTGGCTCAGAAAGAACAATTGCTTTCAACTTGAACGGAGTCTCGCTGATAATTTTATCCTTGAGTGCCAAGACAAAATATGGTCGCTGTGATGTGTCGGATTGAGGAGGCGGCGATCGGACAGTACGGGTCACATTTTCTGTATCTACCTTGTCCACACAAACCTGAAAATATAATACTCTTACACTTTACAATTATAAAACAAATGGCACAATAAATCTTGAAAAATGTACCTCAAGCTCGGTGTCATTCTTTTCTTTGTCGCAAATGACTCGAATGTGGACGGCACGTGTTTCCAAATCAGTCCCTATAAATTATTTGTTTTTGAAAAATGATTTTTCAATATGCGGCTTCATCTAGTAAGGCATAAGGCGCTGTGAATCGGTATGAGTTATGAGTTCAAGAGTAAGGCATAAGGCCCTAGCCTGGCGGCAATGGGATACGCTCGTTGGTAGAGCGTTCGCCCGGAAAGCGAGAGGACGTGGCGGTTCGAATCCCGGCACCGACCACTCTTTTGTATTCCCAGCCCCAACCCATAAAAAGAATCACGTAGCCAAGTACTCCCATACTGAAAAATATAGCACAAGCGTTTACCTTCGACAGTCAACTTGCACTTGGTGGTGACAGCTCCAAAAGCATTTGCGGCAGTGCATGTGAAAACAGCCGAATCACCGGGAGTCGTTGATCGAATTCGGACCATCGTAATCCCATCTTCGGAAACGACTTGGTATCTATATTCATCGTGCTAACAGTTCGTCCTTTTTCCGATTACCTAGACAAATCGAGTAGATGTCCATCTTTTTCCCAGGTTACAACTGGAAGTGGTTGCCCGGTGAATGAGCATCGGAGTTGAATGTTTTCAGCAACCTATTTGCAAAAATATGTCAATATTTCATAATCAGGGACACTTACAGTTGTGAATAACTCTTCAGGCAAAGTCGTGACAAATTTCGGCATTTGGCCTGCCGCTGAAATAGAACTGGCCTCAGAAACGTCAAGCGATTCCATGGAATGGCTTCGGCGCAAATCTCCAGTCAACTAAACCGCCTTAGTTTTGTAAAGTTCGAACGATATCGGGAAGCAAATTTAATAGGAAAATAAAAATCAGTACTTGTTTATCTTTTCCCCGCAAAAGCCAGATAATTTGCATCTTGCGACCGAGTTTGCATATCAAATTGCGGGAAAAAGATAAACAAGTGCCAAAAAATGATATTTTTGGCATTGCGAATTTTTGAAATGCTCTGAAACTTTGAAAATTTGAAAGCTCAAACCGCTTGAGTGTTTGCACCCTTGAGCACTCCAACCGTTCCCTCGACATCCACTTGCTCTTCCACGCCGCTCAGCTCGATGACAATGTCTCTCACTGTTTTAAGATAAATAACATATTAACATTCCTCGAAACTCACCTCCTTCCTCGAAAACTTCAATGTCGGTTTGTGTAATCGTCGATCCAGCCGAATTCGATGCTTCACAGGCCAACGTTCCGATCCAGTGTGAATTCACGTTTTGGATCTTCAAGCAAGACTCACCTTCCTCGGAAGTAATGGTAACATTACTGAAAATATTTTTTGAAATCCCTAGATTTTATTGTCACCTATCCGACCGAAGCATGCTTCCATTTAAGAACCAATTGATTTTCGGTTGCGGAATTCCGATGGCGTAAACCTGGAAATATTTTGTTGTGTATAATTTGGAAACAATTTTACTTTGAAGAATCCGCAGTGATCTCGCGGAATTTTAGCAGTAGGCTCTAGTTGAAGAGTGAATTCGGGGACTGTGTAAAGCATTGAGCTGGAGATCGAAGTGAGAGTGTCATCAATAGTTGAAGCTTCTGAAAATAGGAATTAACTCAAGCATAGATCAGCAACTCTGTAACCTTATTCCTTGCTAAATTGGCTATATTGGCTATGACAGGCTTTGAAAAAATAGTCAGCCTTCTTTTCTTCAACTCACCATCATCTTCAAATATGATCTGACTGACGGCCACTTCCGTTCCTTGATTATCGGGTATTCTCGTCAATTCAACGATCACTTTCAAATCTTCTATTGGATATCCATCATCTTCATCGAATTGCACTTCGGTTTGTTGACGATTCTCGCGAATTGTTTGCACAATCACCTAGAAATTGGTGTTTGATGAAAACTTTGATCAAACTCAACCTCAATTTCATCGATTTCTTCTTGTTGTTTGAAACGAAGATCCACATCGGACAGTTCTCGCTGTTCAACGGGCACTTTGGTTTCTAAAAAAATATTTCTTTATTGAACTGACAGAAATTTTTCATGTCTTACCATCAAAAACAAAAGTCTTCGCTTGCACAGAGCCAAACTCATTGTTGAGATTGATTGTGATTGTTGCGGGCAGGATTTCTTGTTGAATTTCGTAAACGGTTTCGTGATCCGATTTAAGAACGCGACTGAAACAAGACAAATTTCGAGTTTTTCTTACGCAAGACTTACGTCGGCGACAAAATCTCTCCATTAACTGTCCAAGTGGGTTCGGGTGAAGGATTTCCTTTGAATGGAATCACCAATTGATACGGGAAAGCCTGAAGAACTGGTAAATGGGAGCAAATCTTATTTGCTTTTGTTTTAAACTTGCAAAATTGAGATTAATAAAATAGCAATAAGCATGGATTTCAGAACACGCCCAAAACCCACCGAAACGGCCAAGCTTTCGGGAATGAGTGAAACGATCTGTGGAGCTTGACCTTGATCCAATTGGGTTACCGGTCTCAACTCTTCGACGCCTGTAAAGTAACAAAGTAAAAATCTTTCATTTTAACTAGGGAAAGGCAAGCACTTGCCGTGGCCTTTTGGAACGAGACCAAACCCATCTTATAGAATCGACTACGCTGCGTTCGAATCTGCTTTAGTTTTTGCCCTCGATGCCCTCGATGTAGGAGGCCTCAAACAGAGATCAAAAATGCAACCAAAACTTGTAAGCCAGATATCTTGCGTTACAGACCTCAAGAGCAAAAATTAACAGCAGATTCGGACCCAGCGTGGTCGATTCTATTAGGGTCGTAGAGATAAAATTAGGGTAGTAGAGCGCTCACATCTCTTTCCAAAAATAAAAACACTGCAATTCTCAGCCAATAAGTGTTGTATACTATTAGAAAGCTCTGAATCTCCTCCACAAAATAGTGCAAAAAAAAAAATTTTTGAATTGGATTGATTATTGGGGACTTGGTTGTTAAAAAGAAACCGCAGGTCGAGTCTCAACCTGGGTACCTGCTGGCAACTATCGCTTCCACGGATCTTTTCGTTTGAAATTTTTCCAGTATATTAAGGAGATACATTACTCAATATTTATACCAAAATGCAAACGAGCCGCTTAGATTCTATCGAGATCTGAGAATCCAAAGTTTAAAGTAGCCGTAAAATGGGACTCTTTTGATTTAGATTTAATCCTAGAAGACGAACAACCAAAAGGAGTTCTTTTCGATTTTATTTAGAAATAACTTTAATTGGCGGTATTTTCTAACGGAAAACCCGGGCATGGCTATTACCGGAAACACATTTTCCAGAAAAAGTCATTTTTAGCCTTTCAACTTAAAAGTCACTCAAGTCTCCAATAATCAATCCAATTCAAAATGTTTTTGCATTATTTTTAGAGGAGATTTAGGGTTTTCGAACAGTATACAACACTTATTGGCTGAGTCTTGCAATCTTTTGATTTTTGGAAAGATAGCGAGCGAGCAGAGCGCTGCTTTCATTCCCACCACCCTAATATAAGATTGGTTTGGTCTCGTTCCAAAAGGCCACGACAAGTGCTTGTCTTAGAAAGTCATTCAAATGTTAACCATCGCAAAGTTGACTGTTTAGAACAAATACGATATAAATTCCTAGCTTCTCCGAACAAACCTATCACATTGACATCAGTCTTTGAGATCTCCTCTCCGTGCACATTTTGCAGTTTCACAGCAAATTCTCCTCGATCCCAAATCGTTGCTTCGATTACTTTCAAAGTGGTCGAACTTTCGTGAACGGTGACAATGTAGTTGCTAAAATCTTCACTAACGAGCTTTCCACGAGCTTAAACCTGTCAGGAATCAATGGTTGCCCATGTCTGTACCATTGAACTTCAGCGGCGGGTTGTGAAGTAAAAGAGCATTTCAATTCAAAAGTGTTTTTGTCCTGAAAATGAATAAAATAGATATGTTAATAGAATTGCTACCTCAACAGTGATCGATTTCGGGGTTCGCGATACAATTTTCGGTGGCTGACCAATCGCAGATGATGATTTGGAGAGAGCTTTTGCTAAATCTTTATGATTTTTAAATTCTAAAATCCAACTCACGTTTTACATAAACTTGACATCTAGACACGACATCGCCGGTCGGATTGCTCAAATGAACGGTGAAAACAGCTTTTTCTTGAAGAGTCGCCTGTTTCACTTCCAAAATCGTCACACCGTCTTCGGAGATGATCGTGTAGTTGCTGAAAGTGGATAAGAATGAGATAACCAACAAATTTCCTATTCTTGAAACGCATATTTAAAAATTTACCTTGAGTTCCCAATAGCATCTCCATCTCTGTACCATTGTGTGACGGGCATCGGCGTTCCAATGAATGTCACTTTCAAATAGAATGAGTCTCCCTCCTGGAACGGTTTTGTATGTACTGCGAGTTAACTTTTTAGAAAAATAGCTGGGAAATGTCTAATTTATTTCAAAAGTCGCAAGTGTTATATCGAGGATTGTAGCCCGAATTCTCGGCAACATTTATCTACCAAAAAATTTTCGATTGGATTTATATAACTCATTTAACAAGCGCTAGTCGACATCTCTCTAATCTCTCTTTAAATTAAATTTTGGTTATGCCAGTTCAGCCAAAACAGTTAAGTGTGATTCTTAATGTTATTAAGTGATTTTAAACGCTATTTTTGCATTGAAGAAATATTGAAAAGCTTTTCTTAACAATTTTTAATAGAGAAAATCGTGAAAAATGGCAGATCTCCGGAAAGAGCTTCTAAAATGAGTTGTATAATTCCAATCAGGAAGTTTTTGGTAAACAAATGATGCCAAGATGAAGGGCTTTATTTTTCTATATAACACTTGCCACTTTTGAAATAAATCAGACATTTTCCAGCTACTTTTCCAAGAAGTTGTCGCTATAATTCGTGGTTATCCTGTAGTTAGGTAGGCTTTTATTCTCTATCCGTGCCCAAAGTTATTTCAACGAATAGATGTACTTTGCTATGATATAACTCCAGCTCTTGTACTACTTTATGAGAAAATTCTAGGCTCTAACAAAACATAGTTGCCTGAATTCTTGTTCAATTTGGATTTTATGAAACATGCTATTTTCTGACTTCTATTATCTATTTATTTTGAAAGTACTCAGTTCTCTTCCAACTTTTTTTCTTTCAATTTCTTTCTTTTCTTCCAATTCTTCAAGTTTTCTTCAATTTACAAACCTTGACTGTTTTCTCCTCGGGTGCATGCACGATGATCTTTGGTGGTTGACCCAAACCAGAAGATGTAGTTGTCAAATCTTCGCTTGCTTCTCGCACAGGTGCTATAAATTAATGAAAATCCTTCAAATATCAAATTTCAAAATACCTTTTACATTAACAGCTGTCGTTGCTGTGGCTTCTCCAAATTGATTCGAGAGTCGCACAGTGAATTCTCCTTTCTCCATTGGACCGGCGCTTTTCACGGTGAGCACCGTGATTCCATCTTCGCAAACGATGTCATAGTTGCTAAATATGAGGAAATTAAACGCATTCATACGTGAACTTCGTTTTTGCATCTAAACTTTACCTCGAGTTCATCAAAAACTCTTCTCCTCTAAACCAGAAAGCATCGGGAAGGGGAACGCCAGTGAAAGAGCATTTCAATTGGAAGCTTTGTCGCTCCTAAAATTTTAGGTTTTGGATATCAGAAATCATATGACTATATGACTTTCATTTTGAGCTGTAGAATAAAATTTCTTATCTTTCCCCACCTCAACAGTGATTTCCCGGACGGGTTTTGTGATGATCACCGGTCCTTCAGTGCCACCCGATGAAGTGGTGAGATCTTCGGATTTGATACGGGTTACTAAATTTTACGATTTAAACAATTTTTCTCCAACTCTAGCTTCACCTTCAACCATTCCCGCGCTTTCGACAAATCCGTGAACATTTTGAATATGCACCAAATACTTTCCAGAGTCCTCGGGTGTGATATTTTTGAGAGTGAGGATCGAAATTCCGTCTTCAGTCACAATTTTTGTGAATCTAAAGGGGATTTCTGAGTTCGAAAAGAAAATTGGCTTATTACAAAAAAATTTAACTACTTACTCGCTTGGCAAAATGACTTCATCATCTTTCGACCATTCGACCTCGGGGAGGGGATCTCCGGTGAAACGAGTACGGATCACAAGCTCTTGACACTCCTGCAAGCAAAAAGTTATCTGTTTCGCAAAAGTTAAACAATAAGTACAATAATATCAATAATAAGTTTGTGCAATAAGGTACTTGGTCCATTATATGTCAATTAATATATTTCAACCCCGTAATAATTTTTTTCATAAAACTGACCTCAATTGTGACTTTTTCGGCAAGTTTCGTGATAAATATGGGCTTTTGTCCCAGTGCTGAAGACGAAGTGGTCAGATCCTCACTGGGTAAACGCTCAACTAAAAGTTTTGGGTATAAATTTTAAGCTCTCCAGAGAGTTTTTTCGTTCCTTTTCGTACTTCAATTAAAAAATAACAAATTCACCAATTAATCTATGGTTTACTCCAAATAAAAAGTATTTCTTGTTCAATTTTCGATCTTTTTAAGTAAATTTCGGTTCACTTTCAAGCAAATTCGAGAGTGAAAAGGCGTGTTTTTCGTATAAATCTATAAAAGCCTCTACGAAGAAGTTGGTTTAATCAATTTCTCTGAAAATTTGCCTATTTACCAAACTTTTGTGCTCTATCTTTTATCTATTGACACGAGAATAGGTTTCCTTAGCTAAAGTGTCTAAACCTCATCATCGAGCGACTTTTTGACTACCCGACTTCACGCTTCCCAAAAAAATCCAGGCATAAGACATTTTAAACCCGTTTTAATGTTATTTTGGAGAAAAATAATTGCCCTTTTTAATGAAACAAACCGTGGTACAACTGGTGAATTTGTTATTTTTAAACCAAAGTATGAAAAGGAACGAAAAGACTTTCTGAACAGCCTAATACCAATAGAATTTGTGGGGTTTTTTGTCTACTTATATCATAAATGAGATCTCATGAGATTTAAACTTTGAAAACCGAGTTACCTTCCAATCTCGTTGCAGAAATGACACTTCCATGCTGATTTTGCACTTGAACCGAGTACTCTCCGGCATCCTCAATCAGCATTCGTCTCATTCTCAGCGATGAGATTCCATCTTCGGTGATGATTTCGTGGAATCTGCTTTCATTTAGGCTTAGTCTTTTTTATCGCAAAATGCTTACTGTGAATTCTCCGGAATAGCTTCTCCATCTTTAAACCATACAGCATCGGGAAGGGGATGGCCGGTGAATTTCACCAAAAGGCGGATCCCTTCTGATTCCTGAAAAAACAACTTATTAGCGAAAAACTATATAATAAAAAATAAATTATATAAAAGTTATGAATCTGATACATTAATCAAAAAGTAGACCTTAATTTTGACGATTTGTGGTAGAGCAAGGATGAGCCTCGGCGACTGTGCGAGTGTGCTCATTTCACTCGGCGTCTCGCTTTTCTGACGAACGACCGGCGCTCCGTCGGCCGAGTGCACAATTGTGATCGAGGTTTTTGAAGGCTCGTCTAGAAAAAAAAATGTTATTATTCTATTACAATACCCAGCTTCATTTATTTATTTATAAAACAAGGTAACTAAAAAGAATTGAATAGCTTTAGATAGAATTGCTACAACAAGATTTTTCAAAAAAAAAACTTTGTAAAGGTAAAATGCAAAAATTCGGGAGCTGGTCAAAACAGCGCCGACCAAAATAATGCGTTTGCGGTTAAGTTAATTTGTATTTCTTATTTTCATTAGATGAAGAAGAAAAATTAGCTATCTGCTGAATTTTGAGCCGTTTAGAACAAATTTGGGATAAGAGAATGCCAAAAAACGATAATGGCTCAAAAAGAGGTTAACTGAGCTTTTCTCGACGGCCATTCTGTTTTTAATGATCCCAAAGTATACAAAGTGTAGATAATTTTCTTCTGTATCCAATAAAGACAAGAAACACATAGAAACTTAATCGCCGAAGGGTTATTTTTGCAGTGGCGCTGTTTGTACGCGGTGCTCTTTTGACCAGCTCCCAAAAATTCTGATCCGATCCAAAAATGTTGAACCGGCGTTGCAGAAAATGAAGCATGCGCTCTCAATTTTTGGGCATCAACATCAAATTGCCTACTCTCTAATCAAATAGCTCCTTACCTTCAACAATGACATCACAGCTCGCTGAAGTGACTCCATATGCGTTCTCAGCATAGACAGTGAAGCGAGTCGGCTGCACGACTGTTTCGGGGTCCAATCTAAGAACAGCAATCCCATCCTCGTAGATGGCGTTGATTCTAGAAATGAAAATTAAGAAGAAGATCTTTTTGCGAGATATTCAGCATTTCCCACACTCACCCATCGGTTGGAATCGGTTCAGTGTCTCTTTCCCAATGCACATCAGGCAATGGCTGCCCACCGAATGAAGCTCGAAGGGTGACTGGATCGTTTTTCTGAAAAGGATTTCGTTTTTAGCAAGTTTAACTGATTGATATTTAGCAATCAATTTAAGTACGTCAAACCTCGATAAAAAAACCCTGATAGTAAAAAGATTTTGATGAAAAAATTCTTAACAAAATACCTCAGCAAAAACCTCGATAACAAAGAGACTTTTCCGTATCCCGATGAGTAAAATTAGTATAATTTTAGCGTCAATAACAAAGATTACGGCTTTCCACACTTCACTAAGTAGCTGAATTCTAAAATGCACCCCAAAGCGCACCTATTCAGTCTGTAGCTAAGTACCTTTTAGCAATGAACGTATAAAAGGGTTCGTTTTCTGTCATTATTCATCCATTTTGATCATTTACACTTAAATTTGCAACCTCAATAGCAAAAAAAAACCTCGATAACAAAAAGGTTTTTCGAAATACCTTGAGTTTTTTGTTATCGAGGTTTTACTGTAACTTTAAATCATTTTCTTTTCAAAACAAACAGCTTTAAAGCCATACAATAATGGTAAAGGTTTAGTTGATAAATTTTAACCTTTATGTAGAGATGTTCAGGTAGAGTTTTCGTGATGTATGGCGGTTGGCCGATTCCACTTGATGAAGTCGTATCGGTTCTGATCGAAAGCTCATCAACAGACGCTGAAGTTCGCGATGATTCGCTTCTTTCGACTCCCGATAAGAACATCGCATCGCGTTGTTGATCACTGCCTGGAATCTCCGATTGTTAAGTTTAAATCTTTCAAACAAACCCTTTGTTTTAATATTGAGTACACTCGTTGTCACATCAATGCCCGCACTATTTGTCGCCTCGCAAACGATTTCGCCAACGTATCTTGACGAGAAGTCGAAAATCTCCAAGAACGAGATTCCATCCTCGGAAACCACGTTGAACTGGTCACTAGATTTCTCCATTTTTTCTGAATTTCCTTAAAATTCGCTCACTTTGCCTTCTCGATAGGATTCCCATTGACAAACCAAACGATTTCCGGCAATGGATTGCCCTTGACAATCACTTTGAATACAACTCGTGCGTTTTCCTGAAACAGAATTTTTTTTTACTTGTAAAAGAAGCTCACCTCAATGACATAAGATTCCTTGAGTTGAACGACGAAAATCGGTCGATTGTAGACACCACTGGAAGTGAGTGAGGTGAGCGTCTCGGCTTGCGAGACTTCTAGAAATTAGTTTGGTTCGTTTACGAAATAGATTATCATATAAAATTGGTTTCTTTATAACAAACCCTCTTCTTCCTCGAAAAGCACGTGACTGATGAAAATCTCAGCGTGATCAGCACTTTCCATTGTCAGTTCGACGTTCAACTCGTTCTCCATCGAGGTGATCGCATCGAGATGCTTTGCCATTTCCAATTGTGAGCGAGTCGGTAAAACGTGGGAATCGCTCTGAAAATATCAATGAACATTAAATTGTATAATCAAACTTAGTAACATCAAATTCAGTCAACCATTGCGAACAGTTTCATTCAATTGGTATGATTCAATGAGGAATCACAAAGCTCAATCAATGATTTGAAAATTAAGCCGATCGAATGTAAATTGGCAGTTTGATTAGGTATATCAAGGTGTTCTAGATATTCTAGATATTCTATTCAAAATAATCTAGCTGCTTTTTATTATAGAAAACGTGCTACATATCGGACAATGATGACATTCGTTTTACCTGTTGTTCAGGCTGCCTTCTAAACAAAAGATCGACATCCGGCTTTTTCGGTGCTGGTTCGGCTTCGGGAGTCTGAAAAATGACGATAGATTTCAAAAGTCAAAAAGAACCACCTTTTCATCTTCATCTTCTTCATGCTGCTCAATTTTCTCCTCTTTGCCAAACTGCTCGAGTTGCTCCTGCTCGGTCGCAATCTTTTCCGAATCTTCTTGCTGTTCAACCTTTTCTTTTTCTTTTTCGATTTCTTCTGATTCCAGCTGCTGCTCTGGTTCCAGAATAATCGGAATCTCCAATGAAATGATATTTCTATTTTCTTCTTCACGATTTTCTTCTTTTAGTACTCCCATAAAGGGTAGGCTTTCCATCAAATCCTCGAAAAGACGATCAACAAATTTTTGTGCGAAATCCTCAACATCCGGAGTAGGAGCTGGGACAAATTTCTTCTTCTAAAAGAATAAATTGCTTTTGTAACAATTTTACCGGGTGTTCAAGAATTGCGGGCACTTTTTCTCTAGTGTAGCTCCGCCTAGAGTTAACCATTCCCCATAAGACTTTTTTGGTAGAATTTACTGCTTATATTTCAACACTTTGCTTCGATACTTTACTCAGAAACGTAAAATTAGCAATTCTATAGAGCCTCAAATCTCCAAAACTCGAGAGCCTTTGTGACCAAATTTTGAACATAAATAATTACTATTCAAAAAAAGTAGCCAACAGCTTAGGTTTTCTACATTTATAATTTAGGTATTTACAAGTGTTTTATCCACGACCAGGTAGTTATTAAAGTAATTCTTTAAGTTCAAAATTTGGTCACAAGGAGTCACAAAATTTGGTCCCAAAGGCTCTCGAGTCTCGAGAAGTCTTGAAGCTCTATAGAATTGCTAATTTTACGTTTCTGAGTAAAGTATCGAAGCAAAGTGTTGAAATATAAGCAGTAAATTCTACCAAAAAAGTCTTATGGGGAATGGTTAACTCTAGGCGGAGCTACACTAGAGAAAAAGTGCCCGCAATTCTTGAACACCCAGTACTATCAAAAAAGTTCACCAACGTTAGAACGTTTACAAAATGTTAAGCCTATCTATTATTCAAATCGCTCACCTCAATAGGCGACTCTTCTTTGAGTCCAACTTCAACACTTTCCATTTTCATCTCGACCATTTCAGCCAAGATTTGCTCTTCCGGCTGTGGGAACTGAAAGAGAAGATCGACAAGGGAATCGGCGACCCGTTCTGCTGCTGCTTTCAGAGCTGCCGCCTCCTAAAGTAAACTTTTATTCATTTTAAAGTTCAGATGCTAAAGTCTATCTATAAGTATTGTCATTTTAAGCACTCTTTTTATTTTCCTCACTTCTCCATCAATCAACTCGATGTCCGCCGCTTCACTCGGCGCTTCAGTGGCCAATCCGGTATCGGCGGTGAGCTAAAATGTGTCGAAAAGTTAGCCAGCTTAGCCTAGCCATCAAAATCTAATCTTACCAATGCTAGCGTATTCGAAACTTCGGCATTCGTTTCATTTTCCGTGGTTTCAGTGGGGATTCCTGTATCCGGAGACAAAAGCTCATTTCTATCCGTTGATGGTTCGCGGATTAGAGCCGCTTCGGTGGCTGCCTCTACCTGAAACACAATTGAATATAAGAAGATTATAAAATCACAGTTTATAAATTTCCATTTACTTGTAATCAATGAAAAGTTTTCTGACCTGTTTTACCTCAGCGACCGCGTGAACGCTATCTTTTTCACTTTGAAGCCGAAGAGAGACATCAAAGTCGGCATCTCCAAATGATGGAGCATCGGCTTCGGTTTTGTCATCCAATCTTTCTTGTTCTCTTTCAGCTTCTTCTTTTTCTTTTTCTTTTTCTTCCATAATGATCGCCTCGACTTGGTACTCTTCGGCTGCTCTTTCAACCTTGAAAATTGTATCTTTAGACATCTTGCTAGAATTGTTGGCTTAGAAGAGGTAATTTATTTGGAAAGTGGGCTAACTTGAGCAAATACCTGTTTGATTTCAGCGAGCGCTTGAACAGAGTCAATCTCTGGGGCCAATCTGAGCGACAGATCGAACTCGGCCTCATCTTCACGAATCGATTGGGTAATCACTTCTTCGGCATCTTAAGTAATGCTTTGAATTAATTAACACATTCGCGACGACGGTATTTTGGGCGTAGAGTCTGTTTTACTGATAATTCCGTGAAGATTCAAAATAAACTAAACTATTATAGTCAGTCGATAGCCACGAATCTCCTCTTAAAAACTAGTACAAAGTTATCGAGAACTTTCTGCAAATAAATAACAAAAGTCCTTAAAAACTTCACCAAAAAGAATCGTCATTAGTACAATCCACCGGTGAGTCAGATAACTATTAAAGTGCACAAACCAATAACGACGATTCGTGTCACTGGAGTGTACACTCCATCAATCAGCACTCCATACTCGGCCTCGTCATCCGGTGAAACACAAAGGATCGTCAGACTGAATTTGAATTATTAATTTCATTAAGGATCATTATTGCCACTAATCTTTGTCGGTAAAGTAATTTCAATGACTAATGCCTAGTTGAAGAAAGACCTATCTAGCAAGCACCTGTGATTTTTAGCATCTTCCGAATCCTCGACGGTGTATCGACGCGGTGAATCGTCATCGGGTTGAATGATTGGTGATCGATTCTACACGGTGCGTCATAATTACCCGTCATAATTACGTCATAATTTCCAAAGTCCAGCTCAGCCAAAATCAAACGAATCTCTCTGATTTTTTCATAGATAAATTTTGACTAGATCTCTTGTAGCACTGTCCAATATTAAATCGATTGGAGTGCACACAATTTTTATATAGGCTTTTAAAGTTTAGAGTCGCGCTTACGTTGGCACGCAATGACATTTGGGATTCACACATCACACTTGCCACGAAACACCCCGATTTCAATTTTTCTTGCAAGAAAAGTGTTAACGGAAAACTCGCCATGCAAAATTTGCTTGAAGTTTAAAGAGTCATGAGTAATGAAGTTAAAACCCACTTGATTCTGATATTTACCCTTAAATACCAAAGCTGCTACTTTGGAAATCAAGAATTGGAAAAGTAATTGTCATTCTTTTTAAAGCACATGGCTGATAGTTTTAGGATTTAACGTAATTTATTCAAAAGTAATGTAAGTCTCATCTGATTTAGCAAAAAATTAACTTTTCTAAAAACCTCTAAGTGCCAACGAAAGTGAATTTCCAACTTTGAAAGCCTATCTAAAAATTATGTGCGCTCCAATTGACTTAAGATTGGACAAGATCTAGACAAAAGAGATCTAGTCAAAACTTACCTATGAAAAGAAATCAGAAAGATTCGTTTGATTTTAGCTGAGCTGGACTTTTGGAAGCGAGTTGGAAGAGTCAAAAAATTCCCGCACATTTGTAAATGACTCATTTTCTAAATGAAAGCTAAAACAAAATTTCCCGTGTTTTATAGTATTTAGCTGAAATTCTGATGAACATTTCTATAAGTAAATAACTCTGATCAGAAATTTCCAGCCTTTTTAAGAAGCCTGCATTCAAGGCAAACTACCCATGAGACAACACGCAGTTTTTGCATGTTTTCGAAGACTTTTCGAAGACTGTTTTCGAATTTTACGTTTTTATTTTGACGAGAGATTTGTTTCTTTTAAAATAACAATTAAACTGTAACTCAAAACGTAAGTGCAAATTTAAAACGGTATTTTGAAGGATTTTTCAATTGAAAACAGGTTTAAATAGTTGAGCGCTATGACAGTTTCCCTCCAGCACACTACAATGCTTCTTTGTTAAGCTAGGTGGCTTTGATCAGGATCATTTAGGTGTAGAAATGCTCCCCAGAATTTCAGATTCAAAATACTATATAGTAAGCCCAATTTCGATCTGGGCTTTAGCGAAAAAATAGAGCTTGTAAAGTGCGCGGGAACTTTTTGATTACCCTGTATATTGCACCCTGTAATAGTAAGCAATCAGCAAAACACTAACCGCTCACAATTGAGGAAAAATTACGCTAACGGCTTTCATTCAAATAACTCATTGAAAATTCAATAGTTTTTGATTTAAACCTAGTAAAATTTGTGTAAATTGGAAACATCGAAAAATTAGAACACCAAAATCTAAAAGGTATTCAGTCGAGCGAAGACTTAAATCAATCTTTAGTCTCTCAGTTTTTACCCAATTAAGCTACCATATTGTGGCAGAATAGGACTTCAGGCTTTTAGGATTTTTTTGCTCAAATTTTTGTTGTGAAATTCGATGAGTAAAACAGTACGAATGTCCAAATGAGATCTCGTCGTTCGTCAAGCGTTTCACAATTGATTGTCGCCACAGCTCCGGCAGGCACCGAGGTCTCTTCGACTTTCACGTCGTCTTCACCTATACAAAACAATTCAATAATTACAATAAATTACATTATGATTATCTTTTCAGAACCTGAATCATTTTTCGAGAGCTTTAACTTTACAATTCTGAATCTACCGGCTTTGAAATTTCTTTCTGCGATTCGGATGAACCTTTTTTGTTTCTGATTGATGACTGTACCGTTCATTCTTGTTCATTCTGTTCATTTAGCTTTTGATAATGTGCATTTTTATAATAAATGTGTTTTTAAAAGCAAATTTACAATATTCTTCTACAATTATTCGTTTCGTCATCGCAACCACCTAATGGAAAAAAATAAATAGGGATAAAGGGGAAAAGATATGGGATATCAACAAAGAAAAGAATATTGGGGAGAGATTTTGGAGAAGAGAAGAACAGATATCGGAATGTAAGAATTTGAAACAAAGAAAAGAAGCAATTTTTGATATTCAAGATATTCAGTAAAAGATGGAAGACTTGCAAAAAGGTAGAATGGGAAAGTGGCACTTCCAAATGCTTGACGAAAACATAAAATGGTAAATGAAAACTTTTCGCTCTGGCAAAGTGCTTAAACTCAAATTTATTCAAAATTATAGTAAAATAATGAATTTCTAACAGTTCGAAAATCTCCTGGATTCTAAAATGATTGTGGGTCATTTGAAATGCGCCCCGCCCTCTTTACCATTGGCAATCCAACTTTGAGCTTAAATATCTTGGTGTTGAGCTGTCCAATTTAAATATTCTTGATATCATTGGATGCGTCAAGCCTTTTTCTGTCGATTGGTACAAAGACTTCTTAAATTGAATAACCCAACACCAAGATATTTGAGCTCAAAGTTAGATTGCCAATGACAAAAGGGGCGGGGCGCGTACTAAATGTCCTTATAATGTCCAAATAACCTTCTAAAATCGCATGACTAACAATTTCGCTGTTGAATACTTATTACTATTTTCTAGACTACATTAAAACATTGATTCACATTGAAGAGATCTCATTTGTGATAGACTTGCAAACTAAACATTTGCTGGGTATGGGAAGCAGTTGATAGCTTAATGTAAAGATTTACTTAAAGTATCAATGCAAAGGGTTTGTGAAGAAAAATTGAGAAGTGGAATAGATATAAAAACAAATGTGCCAAGAAAAGATTGCCTATCCCCATTTCATTTACCGTCAAGCTTTTCCATTCAAACGATCAACTCGTGCACATGCGCATAACAATAACAAAAACAACAAAATTCAACCAAGAGACGTATTCGATATTCGTTTCCGTCGCAAATTCGTTTGACTCGTCGCCATATCGGAGACTGCAAGATGAGCCACTTTGAATTCAACTCCTTGTATTGCCACCGAGTAAAGCCCCGAATCGATTGGCTCAGTGTCATGGATGACCAAGTAGTGCTTTAATCCGTTTACAACATGTTCCACCTTTGCTTCATTCGTGAAATCAATATTTCTTCCATCTTTTATCCACAAAAGATCTCTTTCCTTATCGGAGTCTTCTAATTCACAAGCAATTGTAGCTGTGGATCCGGGCGGAACAAGGTATTCTCTCATTTCTTCTTCTTGTTCCGATTCGGTTCCCGATGCGATCACGGTCACTTCTCGCTCATCGATTCTCTCTGAAATTTGTTTGTTTTATCTTCTTTCTTTCTTTTATTCAGCGTTGGATAGTTTTTTTTCTGATCTTAAAAGCTGAATTTGACGATCGAAAAACAGGGTGGCTCCGAACTCTTGTGTCAGCCTGTAGTTACGGTAAGCTGCAGGATTCTTAGCTAAACCTTACCAGATTTTTAGTCAAAGCTGCAAAGAACTTATTTAGCTTCTTAAGCTGTTGCTAAACTACAATTATCCACTAGCTTTCAATATTTAGCCAAAAACCATTTCCTCACCTTCAACAACGAGGGTGATTGCTGTGAAATTCTCGCCAAGATACGCGTAATATGTCCCTTGATCGGTAGTGGACGTCTTTGGGAAGATCACCTTTTGAAAACCGTCCTCATTGCTCTCAAAATGTAATCGATTTCCCTCGTGGAGTGGTCGTCTTTCTTTAAACCAAAGCACTCTTTGCCTTGGGTCGGAAATCTGAACACTCAACACAGCCGGTTGGCCATCCATTACAAAAAGTGTTTGTGCCGGTGAAAGGAAACTTGCGTAGCCTTCTTGATCTCCTAAATCCTCTTCCGATTGCTGCTCCTCGACAATCAAGTACGCGACGGGAAAAGCTTCATCATTGACTACAAGACTGTACATATCTGTATCATCAAGTGAAACTTGTGAAATAACGAGAACCTCGAGAAGATCGTGAGAGATTCGATCGACTCGAGCCGGCAATTTCTCGAGAATTTCTTTCCCTTTCATCCATTTGATTTTCGAATTCGATGGTAGATAGTTGTTCAGCTCGCAAGTGATTGTAGCTGTTGAGCCGAGTCGAATCACATACGATGGAATGTTCAAGCTCATCGCTGACTCCGTTTTCTCATCATCGATCGATCCTTTACTACTTCGGAAAGAGTCTTGCGATTTCAGCTTCTTTTTCTCTTGTTCTGTTGATTCAGAAACGGTGACGTTGAATTGAACGGACATTTTTGAGTCAGAATCCATACTTTGAATCATCACATTGCAATTCTCGTTGCAAAGAACGGTCATCTCGACTTCTCCCCATGGAATCTCTTCCAACGACGCGTCAACAATATCATTCATACTTCTTGCAATGATTGAAACTGTCACTCCAGTCATTTCCGGGATCTCTACTTGCAAATCTTCTTCATCAGAGAGCTCACGAATCTCCTCGAAATCGTCAAAACTTGATGTCTCCGTGAAATCATCGAGATTCGCTCTCAATGACGGTTGGCTTTCCGACAAATCATCGACAAGTATCGTCAAGGCTGTGTAATCAGTTACTTCTTTGTAGACATGGACTTTAAACTCAAATTCCTGATTGATATGCTCAACGAGAACATCAAACGAGTTATCAGCGTTGATTTTAGCTGTGCCTCGAATTCGAACATCTGGGTGAATGACAGCTGACAATTTGCAGCGTTGCCTTTTCTTGAGGAAAGAGAACTCTTTTGTGATTGTTTCAATGGTGAGTGGTTGTTCGATATCATCATCACTAATGATATCAGTTTCTTTGAGTGTTGCAGGAGAGAGGAGATCCGGTGAAAGAGTTGAATCCATTTGAGAAAGCACGTTTTCATCAACAACAACATGCATTGTATCATCGGAATGATGTCTTTTCAGTGTCTCTCCATCAGTCGAATTCTCCGTTCTTTCTGTGATCGTCGATAGAGCGACGGGCGCCGTTTGACTCACGCTAAGCGCTTCTGACTGAGAATTCAGATCCGACTCATCGACCACATAATTTTCATCTTTAAACAATAAAAATAGAGGCTTAGCCTTATCATCAATCGATCTTTTTCGTTGTGATGGCTGTTTGATCTCTTTTTGTGCATCTTGATGTCCGGATTGTCTCAGCTCTTCCATCAACTCTTCATGAATATCTTCATATTCAGGTGATCGTATCAAATGTACACCTGTTGCTTGTCCTCTCATCATTCCCGAGTTCTCCGTATCGGTTCCATTGTCGGATTCCTCGCAAACCAGTTGCACTGAGTTCGTTTCTTCTTTGATCTCCGGGGTGTAAACTGCGAGATTTGCTGGTAGTTCTACAGAGGATTCTCTTGCTTCCATCACAAAAAGCATTTCATTTGAATCCATTCCCTCTTCATATGCAACTCCAGTATCATTTTCATCATTTTCATCGATTATATATGCAGGGATTTCTCTCAGCGCTGTCTCTTCAATCGATTTCTTTGCCGTAAACGTTTGCTCGAAGAAAACTTCTTCATTTTGCTCTTCTTCATTTCGTTTTTCTTCACTTCGTTCTTCCTTTTCTGCTTGTCTTTCTGGACTTTCCACCATCACAAACGATTCTCCGGATGATTTCCTTGATGCAACCTCTTCCATTTCTTTCTCGATTGCTTGCTCTTCTTTCAATAATTCAATCAACTTCTTCTCATCTTTTTCAATATCTTCTGTCATTGCATCAGCAATCATTTCTTTCATATTTTCATTAATCACCAAACTTGGCCTTTGACCGTCTAGCTGATTTTGAAGAATAAAGCTATTTTTAAGTGCCTCAAAGTTAGCCGAAGCTCTCGATAAACGATTTGGAGAACAAAGAAGTTCAGCGGAATCAAAGAGGAATGGCGTACTTCCCGCATCGGATAGATGATCTTTTGTAATAATGATTGCATTCAAATGATCAATTTGCGATTTTCTGCTAAAACTTATATCCACCGTTTCATCGATTACCTCGGATTTTATTGGAGAAGCCGATTTTTTGAGGCTTTTCCCAGTCTTTTCTTTGGCTTTCTCTTCTAAAGGTTGTAGATCTAATTCCTGGATTTCTTCAGTCAAATGACTGATTTGATCTCTAAGTTCGGCTACCGTTTTCTCACCTTCAACAGAAATTTTCGGGATGAACTCAACATATTCAATTGATCCCTTTGAATTTCTGCTTGACGGGGTTCGATCTCGAGATCCAGAAGAGTTTCTTTTCTTTCGCGGCGGTGGAATGGGCTCCACTTCGGAAATTTTGATCTCACTGTCTGGTCGAGATTTTCTCTCTTCTTGACTTTGCGTCCTCCGCCGTCTTGGTGGTGGAATCGGGGTTTTCTCAGAATCGATAGAATCGATTCGCGATTTTCTCTCGATTGGTGTCAGTGATCCCTCTTCCTCTTCAATCTCTGTTAGTGTCGATGTTTTCATACTCTCTGAGCTTTTATCAGTCTTGTAATCGTAACTGAACCGAAGACTGCTTCCTTCAGAATGTGAACGAGAGAAGCTTCGGAAGATTACCGTCGCAAAAGCGGATTCAGATTGTTCTCTTCGTCGTAACTGATAGCTGACATTAATTGTGACTGGATGTGGTTCATGAAGAGGAACTGGAGGCTTTTCCTCGTCAGTCTTTGCCTCTAACTTCTTCAATTCTTCAAATTTAGCAACTTTGACCCCATTTACTTCTCCTTTTACTTGTTCAACACGTTCTTTTTGCTTATCAGGCTCATGTTTCACTTTTCCTAAAGCTTGTTGTTCATCAGGCTCATTTTTCACTTTTTCCAAAGCTTGTTGTTTTATCAAATGCATAATATTGACAATGCTCGCGATGTGTGCCCTCACCTTTTGCAGGACCGAAACAACCGCATCGGCGCCTCTCTTTGAAAGCTTTTTACTACAGAATTTCTTGATCGTTATGATTTCGGCATTTATCTGCACAAAGAGATCATGAATTGTGCTATGTGTTCCTCTTTTCGGATCATAACCGCACCTCAACTGCTCCTCCTTCGAAGCCTCTTCAATCAAATTCTCTAGCACATCCAGCTGCTCTCGAATATTCGTCGTCAATGGTGTCATTCGCAGCAATTCCTGACTCGGCACTTTCTTGATTTTATTTCCCGGACTCTTTGTTCCGATGGGTGTCGGCGGTTTGTCTTTTGGTGGTCTTTGCGGTGAAGCGATGATATTTCTCACCTCGGAATCCTCAGCCATTTCCGATCTCTCATCTCCTTCAACCACTTCTTCCATCAATGATTCTTCAATTATATCAAGATTATCTCTTAATTGTTGGATCGGTGACTTCACTTCGTCTCTCGATTGACCTGGTTGAAGACTTTGATTTTGATTTGGTTGAGTTTTCGGTGGATTCAAAATCATTTCAGCTAAAGTCGCCCGTAACAACTCTTTCTTTGCTTCGGCCTGTGCTTGAGAAACGGGCTTGTCGATCATCAATTTCTCAGCCACTGACAGAATTGTGCTCTCAATCTCTTTCAAATCATCTTCTTCTTTGTCGGGATTTCCTCCAGCAGCCAAAATGCTCAGTTCTTTTTCGACTTGTTTAGCGATTTTAGCGATATTTTTGATTCCTTCTTCTCGACGAGCTCGAGAATCGGATCGAGTTGGTTCCACTTTGATTTCAATTGATGGAGACTGGATTTTTTGTTGTTTTTCTTCAGTCTTCACAATTCTCATCTTTTCAGGACTAATTCTAACGGTTTTTAATGGCTCCTGTTCATTCTTTTGATCTAATGGTTCCCTCTTTGGGCTGGCTTTTTCCGGAGATGTCGATGATTTCTTCGGACTCGAATCAGCACTTCTTTTTGGGTCTTTAATCGGGGAATTGGGTAAACTACTCGATTGAGACCACGGGAGATCTGTGTTTTCTTCGTGTGATGATTTTCTCTCTTTTCTCACATCAATCGATGATGGCGGATAGATGCTGCTTGCCCCGGATTCCTCTTGATCCGAGATTGAAATTCGTGTATTTCTCGGGATTGGCTGTGCCTTTGTCTTGATTTCAGCTTCTTCAAAAGCCGGTTTCTTTGTGAGAACCGTTTCCGCTTCTACAGTCACCACTTTTTCTTCTTTTTGCCTAAAAATCGGCATATCGAAGTCGAACATTGCTTCAACGTATCTTTGCACAGCTTTTACATATTCGGAATCTTTTTCTTTTATGGGTTTTTCAACAAAACTAGCCGTCACCTCGATCTCTTGCCCTTTGTACAAGACTCGATCGGGTAAATCAGCTAATCTAGGCTCACAATTCTCAACTTCTTCAGGGTTTTCGAGTTCCCTCAATAATTCCTCTTCTTGTAACGCTGTTGATTGAATGTCTTGACTTTGAGCCAATAATTCCTCTTTTTGCAATGCCATTGATTGAATATCTTGACTTTGAGCCAATAATTCTTCTTCTTCTTTCAATTCTCTGGCGGCATGTTCAAACGGATTAAACATAGCGTAGTCCCATAAACCGGGGAATGGAACAGAAAAGCTTCTTGTCAACGACGCCAACACAAATCCGTAATCCTCAAAGATGAATTCTTCATATTCCGATTCGAACCTTTTCTCAATCACCAATTCTACATAACAATGAGCCATATTTTGCATCAAAACTTCGGTTTGTGAGTGAGTCTTTCTCACAAAATTTACGAGTTCTTTGCTCGGACGTGGTGGAACTGGTGGTGGAATTTTTGCTGGTAAAGCTTTACTTGTCACTTTCCCAGGTATGGCTTTCAGCTCTGCATAGAGAAATTCTTCCTGTACAATCTCGATGATTTTCACTCTAGCATGTCCGGATTCAAAGTATTTATAGAAAGCATTCGTTTCTTTCAAATCCTCGTTGTAATTGACAATTCGAAAGAGTTCAAAATCGGAGATAGCTGTGACTAAACGACCTCTAGCTACGGCTAGCGGACTGTCATCCCATTGTCGAATGTGTTCATTCGATAGTTGTGACAATCTTCGATGAAATTCATCATCCGTTTCTTCTTCATCCAAAATTGAGGATTGTGATGGGATGTGTTGAATGAAACGGAGCACATTTGTCGTTTCATTTTTGGTGTTTCCTGGCGGCGAACGGATTCCAGGCATCACTCGCTCCGATGGATATTCACCTGAAATTGAAAAAATTACCAACCTGAGCTCTAAAAGTTATTTCGGTTGTTTTCGTCGATCCTCACATCAGAAATATTTCACAATAACAACAAAATTCTTCCCAAAAAAAAGTGATTCAACAAAATTTTTGCACAAAAGTTGAACTGTTTGAGTAGATCATGGAGATTTGTTCGTTTATTGAAGCAGATTTATGGAGTTGAATGAACAAGTAAACTTATAGGGTTATTTAGGTACTTTAGAGTCTGGTACTGTAAGTACTTGATAAGTCTGTAAGTCTTTACACTTTACAAGTATCAAGTTTATTTTCAAGTTAATTAGATTAAATAGATATAATCGGCACAACTCCGGTGACCAAGTGTGTTCTTTTCAGCTAATGCGTTGGCTAAAAGGCACCAATTTTAGGGAAACCGTAATCAAAGCGACAATTTTCATTCGATCAGCTCAACTTTGGTATAATTCGATGGGGAATCACAAGGCTCAGTCAATGATGTCAAAACTGGGATCAAAACTAGAGAAAACTGAAGGTAGTTTAGGTGTCTTTTAGAAAACTTTAGATACACTTTATACGGCTCTTATCCGTTTTCCCGAACTTTTGAAGAGTTTAAGACGCTTTTGATAACTATAACTTTACTTAGAAATAATATTATTGGTCACTTTTTTTTACAGTTTTAAAGAGGAAAATTTAAGCTTCCAAATAATAAAAAACTCGATTGGATTGGATTACTCATTTCAATGAAAATCAAGAGACAAGGAGGTGATCTCTTTCGGCCAATTTTGCTTTGATTTGCTCAGGATTGGTTGATTAAATCAGCTTCTATTTTATATCATTCGAAAGCTTGAAATGTCCTCTTTAAAACTATATAAAAAATAAACAATGGTAGTAGATAAAATTAAACAAAATCAAACATCTAAAAATGCTTAAACTCTCCAAAAGTCCGGGAAAACGGACAGAAGCCCTTTATTCTTAGGTAAATATTGGGTTGTCCAGTTATGAATGCGCGTTTTTTACTATTTTGCAAATTTCTCAAGATACCGAAATCAAGAAAAAGATATATATGAGTATCATTCGAAAGCTGAAGATCTCCTCTACATTTTGATATAAAAAGTTTTTGAATTTGTTCAGCTTTTGGGCAAATTGGTTGCACAGAAGAGGTGGCCAAAAAGTGGAAGGGTACCTTTGGATCAAGTTTTGACTCCGCTCAAATTGAGTTAGCCGTTTGATGTTTGGCCAATAGATATATCAATACAACTTTTTTTTTAAATATAACAATTTCAGAGCATCTTTACTTTTCTTTTCTTTTCTGGGCGGTTATTTTACACCATAAAACTTGAGGAATAGCTAAGCTGGAATGGTTTTTTTCGAAAACGACCTCTCCCTTTGTGCAGTCAATTTCCCAAAAAGTTGAATGAATTCAAAAACTTTTTTATTCCAAAATGTAGAGGAGATCTTCAGCTTTCGAATGATATATAACACTCATACACATCTCTTCGATATCTTGAGAAATTTACAAAATAGTAAAAACGCGCATTCATAACTGGACAACCCAATAGCACCTTTTCTCTCAACCAAGTCTACTTTCAAATCTCCAATAACCTTTTCAGTTCAAATATTTCTCAAATCGTTAGCATGCACCGTTTTTTTCCCACTTTTTCCAATAACACAATCCATTCCACGACACTCCAAGAAAAAACACAGGCACAATTGAGGAAAATAAAAGTAAATGAGTGATAACGCTCACGTGAATTTTTGATTTTTTAAGACTTTAAGGTTTTTGATCTAATGAACAGAGGACAGAAAAAGGAAAAAAGAAACAAACTGTAGAAGTTGTGATGACGAATGTTTTTTTGTTTTAAACTTTTTAAATCGGTACAGTCATCAATCATTTATATACCATTATTTCTGAGTTTTTTTTGATTTGAAATTTCAGATATTTTCTTAAAATGGAAAAAACTCAGAAAAGTTCTATTTTGCCTCGAATTGTGCACTGTTTGAAGGGTGGAGAAGTCGAAGAATTGATCGTTTTGTTCAAAAGAAGTTGAAAAAAGATTGAGAAAACGATTTGTGCAAAAATCTTTGATGAATCCTTTCGTTGTTGGAGAATTTTTGTTGTTGTTGAAGATTTTCCGATGAGATCGATCATTCGACAAGCGCAACCCAGCGACAAACAGCGCCCCAATTTGAGAGCAAAACGAAACGATCATCGGGAAAAGTTTTCCAAGGGAATTTGCTTGAGTGGGGCTATTTTTTCAACAAGTTTTCTTCTGGATGGCATTCTCATTATCATTTAAAACTAGTTACTATCAAATTTTTCTTGCAATCTCATGAGCAAATTTTGTAAAAGCTGTCTTTCAAAAGAGCTAATAGCGGAGTCTTTTCGAATTATCATGGTCGTTTCCTGGGTTTTTTGTGAATCCTGGAATTGTGGTTCAATGACAGGTTCAATGAAATCCGCTTATTGACTTGGACATTAGATTCTCAAGATGATTTCTACCAGAATTAGAGTACAGGGTGTTCAATATTTATGGGGACTTTTGCGCTTTCTAGATTAGCTCGCAGGCCGTTTAGCGCTCTCAAAATTGGTTTATGAAAAAAATTGTCAAAAAAGCACTGAAACAAACTCGACTTTCTAGATTATATTTACAATTTACTAAATTTGATATTCCAAAAATCGATTCATCAGAACTTGATCACCAAATTTCTCCAAAGGGAGCCAGACCCGGGTTGTTCTTGTTTAACGATGAGAAAGTCTTCACTATTTAACAGTTTTCGAATCTACGGGACAAAAGGCAAAAAGCAATAATTTTGAAAAGAGTCACTTAAAATTGTTAAGCATTGGGCGTATTGATAAGTATGTTTCTTTTTAGCATTAAACTTGTACAAAGGTCTACATCTAGTAATCTATTGGTTCCCATAAATATTGAATACCCTGTAGACTATGGCTGAGATTAGATTATGACTCCATATGTGCTAGAGTACTGGCTTAAATTGCCTCGACCACAGCTCCGTAGCAGCCACAGAAAACAGAAAACATTAACAGATCTGGTTGTTCTATGATTTACCCATTTTTTTCACAGTTTCAGGATAAAAACGATGTTTTTTTGTGCAGCCAACCCTTCTTTGAATCATAATTCGAATTGGAATCGGAAAATAATCCGGGAAACGATGACGATAATTTGAAAAGACCCCGTTATCAACATAGAGCATTCAAAAGTACGTATAGAAGTAAGCTGCCGTACCCTGTAATCAAAAAAAATACTGAGAAACTAAGGACGAAATGAAAGGAAATACGAGATGCTGATTTTCTAAATAGTGCGCTAAAAGCTACTTCAAAAAGCTACCGTCATCCGATTTCCTTTTTAATGTAATTCAAACCAATCAGACACCAAACAAATTCCTTTCAAAAGCTTTTCCAATTTTCATGAATTGCAAATGAAACCAACCTAATACTTTCAAGAAACATTTTGTCAGCGCCGATCCAGCCGCATTTCTCGCTTCACATTGATATTCTCCTTCATCTTCGGGCAAAGTTTCGTTGATTTTCAGCAGACAGACCCCATCCTCGTACACAAGGTTGTAGTCTCTGAAACTTGATGGGTATTATACAATAAAAACAATCAATAGTAGATATTTCCAAAGACTCACTCATTCTGTAGAATCTCATCTCCGTCAACGGTCCATCGAACTTCGGGAGTGGGTGTACCGGAGATAATACACTTGAATGTAGTTGGCTCGCCGGGAGTGGCTTGTTTATCCTGGAAATTGCATTTAGAAAGAAAAAAAGACTATTCAGTTAACTATTTAGAAAGAACTATTCAGAACGATTCATTTAGCCTAATAGCATGCAAGAAATTTCAAAACTAGTCACTAGCAACTTTGATGTTTAAAAGTTATATTCAAAAAATGGATACCGAGAGTTTCCTGAAAAATTTCGGCATTTGGAGGGCGGCCGTGGAGACGGATTCCGAGATGGAAAATGAGCGCTCGGCTTTGAGTTTTGGTTGGATCGGTGGACGGGATTCGGCTTCACTCGGCGGAAGCTCTTCTTCTGGGGAACTCACTGTGGCAACGATCTCCACACTCTGCAAATTTGTTTATTTAGTAGAAATAGAAAAATCATGTCTTATTGCAATTTCAGAGTTTTCGAAGTAATGCTAATGCATTCCCTTTAGAAATAGGAAGTATTTGTGACTTTGTCATCTATTCTTATGAAAGTTTTGTCCGCCTTTTTGAAATTTTCGTTTTTAAATGAATAATTAGCCGATAAACGTGTGGTTTGGTTTAAATAAAAAAGATTAACTATTTCATTTAGCTCATTTTTAGGCAAATTTGAGTCCACTTTGAAGCAAATCGAAACGGAAATTCTTGTGTTTTCCCTAAAATCCATAGAATGAAAACGGTTTGGTGAAATATTATGAAAATTTGTCTATTTGCCTAACTTTTTATCCTCTATCTTTTGTCTTTTCAAATCAAAATAGATTTCTGTGACAAAAAGTTCTCAAATCGGAACTTTGAGTTTCATCGTTTTTCACTGCTGGACTTCACACCTTTAAAAAAAATTAACTAACGCGAGCTTTTTAGCTTAAAGGACAATTTGTAAATAAATAATAGAATTTTCTGATAAAACAAATCATAGATCGTTTGGCTCATTATTCATTTCAAAAAGTAACCTTTAAAAAGGTGTGAAAAGAAGAAAAAAAGGTGTAAAAGCGGAAAAGACTTTTTGGCCAGCCTTATATAAAGATTTTAAAAATGCAGATAGAAACAGTATTTTTTAAAAAATTCAAGTAATTAACGAACCTGATCTGGACAGTTAGCATCAACTTCAACGAAAACAGCCACCACATCAGCTTCTTCAGATCCGAAACGAGCACGAGGACGACGACGGAAAACATCTTCTTGTCTGAAATAAAAACTTGGTAAGAATTTATAAAGACGTTAAGAATTCAGTCTAATTTTGTTTTTCTAAAATTACTTCGAATGTTGTGCATCAAAGAGGAGATCGGCGATCCCTTGTTGTCCATCGGTTTCCTCTTGTCCTTCATACTCGATGACAAGCTCTTGGTGAGCCGAATCACCCTGTTTCACCAGGGAAACGGACACATTTTGGATCTAGATTTTTCAGTAAATACGGTTTAAGCAACTACGATTTGTTTTTGTACCTTAACTTTTCCCGCACTTGCCGCAATGTTTAGCAATTCCGGGATGCACTCTTCCATTTCCATCACCGCCGACACGTTCTCCGCCTCATCTCCCGGCTTTGAAATCTATAAAGAAAGGTTGATGTTTGTTTTTAAAATACAGAAATTTATTTAACACATTGAAAACGATCCGAGCCACCGGTGGATTGTACTAATGACGATTCTTTTTGTTGAAGTTTTTAAGGATTTTTGCTATTCATTTCACAGAAAGTTTTCAATAACTTTGTACTAGTTTTTAAGAGGAGATTCTGTGGCTATCGAATGACTATAATAATTTAGTTTATCTTTGAATATTCACCAAATCATCAGCAAAACAGCTAACGACTATGAGACTGTACGCCCAGAATGCCAAAATATGTTAATTATTATAACAATATCAAAAGAAACCTCAACAACAGTGCTTGCTTTTGCACTCGCGGCGATTCCCAATGCTTTTTGCACTTTCTTGATACTCCATGTGATTGCTTCCTAGAATTTATCGATTAGAAAAATTTCTTTTCTTTTCAAAACCTTGAAACTCTTGCTGACACCTTCAAGGATCACAATTCGATGCTCGGTTTTTGCTGATTTCTTTGATGATCGTTGGAGAGAAGTGTCTGCTGTCTAAAATCGAACGATTTTCGGAGTTAACACTGTAGTTTTTTAGACCCAAAAGCTTCTTTATTTTTATATGCTCTTGAACTTGTGAGTGTATATCAGACTAGTTCTTTAAAAAGTTGAAATCAAATCAAAAAAAGTTGAAATAAAGTCTTTTTTCCAGTTTCTGAATTGTTTCATGATCTTTATCGGGTTTTTAATCTCAAAATTTCACCTGTGACGTTGATGGTTTCTGTAGAATTGTTTCCAAATTGATGAACGAATGTGGGACGGTTGTGGGTGTGAATGGAGCTTGGATGTGCAGCTGGACACTCTCGAAATCACCCTCGAGCACGGTGACGACGTGCTCGGAAGTGAACGGGGATTGACGAACCTGGGATTTGTAAGTGTTGAAAGGAATATAAAAATTCTCACCTCAACATTCGCTTCCTCATATGCTTTATGCTGATCTCTCAATGCCAGCACACTGCTCAACACATCATTCACTCCTTCTAATGGAAGATCGAGATTTTGAGCGGCCAAGAAACGCTCCGAGAGAACACGAGTCTAAAAGTGGATTCGTCTATGAAATAAACGAGTTTTCATTAAAACGTCCTGATTTCCATTAGCCAGAGTACTACAGGGGAAAACTTATCCGGACAACTTTTTAAAAAATTAGTTGTCGCATGCTTAATTTATTCCAAAATGGAAATTGTTATATAGAGAATTGTAGCCATTAATCTTGGCTACATTTATCTACTAAAAACTTCCCAATCGGATTTATGTAACTCATTTAACAAGTCCTTGAAGCTAGCTGTCTTTAATAATAATAATAATTAATAATAATAATAATGATAACCTAATAATAATATTTTCTATCAAAAAAGCAACCTTTTCTTCATACGGTATCACCAATTGTTGATCAGCTTTTTCCATGGGTCGATCCAAAAGTACTCGAGATTTTGTTTGAGTCGATTCGGTCGCCGAGACATTTTGTTGACCAGTGGTGAGAAGGATATCCTAAAAAATTTGCTTTAATAAAAAAAATCTTTTATTAACCTTTGTCTGCATGACTTCTTCCGTATGCAAAATTGTTTCTTTCTCCAAAACGATCGCTTTCACTCCCTCTTCGGGTTCACGAATCAATAGATTGTGATCAACAGCCGATCCCGGGCGACTCACGCGGATATTTGTTGTCACCTAAAAAACATTTTACTGTTAAAATTTGATTTTATCTATCAAAAATTGTTTATTTAAGTTCATGAGTTGTTCAAATTGTTCACGAATTGTTCATTTAAGCCAGTTACTTGTTCTTCCGATGTTTTCTCAATCGATTCCATCGGTTTCTCTTGTCCGGTTTCGAATTTGATCGGAATGTCGACGGAGATCGATTTCTAAATTGATAAATGGGGGAGTGGGACAAATGCTACCTTTTTTTTGCGCACCCGGACATTTGCGCACCTTTTTTTCCGCATCTTGCCCATTAGCGCACCTTTTTTCGCGTTTTAAAAAAGCTCTAAAAAGCTAATATTAACCAATTTCTATTCCAAAAGTTGTTTTTCTAGGTAATTTTAGGGCGTAGAATCGAAATTTTGACATATCAGAGCTTGTGGAAGCGAACGGACGGAGTTATACAAAGAGAAACATCGACAATTTTCTGTAATTTGACCTAGCCTGTCTTTCAAATTGGTTCCACACGCTCTGTTATGTCAAAATTTGAATTCGACACCCTCAAATTACCTAGAAAAACAACTTTTGGAATAGAAATTGGTTAATATTAGCTTTTTAGAGCTTTTTTTAAAACGCGAAAAAGGTGCACTAATGGACAAGATGCGGGAAAAAAAGGTGCGCAAATGTCCGGGTGCGCAAAAAAGGTCGCATTTGTCCCACTCCCATAAATGGATTAAAAAATAAACAGATATGGAAAGATAAGTATTGACATTAAAAGATGTGATTTTCTTTTCTTTACCGTACCTCGACAACTTCTGCTTCCATTTTCGTTGTCTCTTTGTCGGCCTCAACAACCGTGATTTTATGTTCGAATTCCTAAAATGATCAATAAATGGATAGAAAACTCTATTTCACCTCATCTCTGTGTAAAATATTGATATTCGTGTTGACCGTTGATCCATCTTCGGTTTTCACAAATTTTGATACAGTCATTTGCAGGAGACTGTTCTCATCTTCGGTATCGGGAACTAGAATTTGGGTACCTTTGACTTTTACTTTCCATATTGCATTGAAAATCAATTTGCATTTAAAAATAGAAGTCACAAGTACACTATGGGGAACTTGTGGCTCTTTTTGAGTCACAAGTTCCGCCCATTTTGAATACTGGGCAAAGTGGGAAACTTTAAATACAAATTTTACTCGGCAAAGTGATCGGCTTAAGAGTCACAAGAACCGAATTTGCATCTATGGATAGCGAAAAAGCGCTTTGAAAAATCTAGTGTCAATTGACAATAAACATGACAATAGACAAAGATAAAAAGATCTTCACAAAAATAAACAAAATTTGAAACAAACCACTCTGAACGACGACTCGAAGTGAAAGGACGGCCGTTCCGTGAACATTCGTCGCGTGACAGTAATAGTTTCCGGACTAAAATCTTTGTATAAGTAACTTTGCTAGACAGATTTCGATTTTTCATAAATCTATATAGCATAAATAAAACCCAAGAAAAGATTGATAGACTAAATAAAATGAATAACTCCAATCGATTCCCGACCCTGAAAACCCCGCGTTCAAATTTACAGTTAAATATCTTTTTTGGGCCATCTATAAAGTGAAAGAGAAATCCTTGTGTAAATGACTGGCCATGTGTTCTTTGTGTGGCCGAGTAATCGCTCGTGACCTGGCAAATGACTCGAGTATATAAGGCTTCTCTTTTGGAATTTGTCTAGGGGAAGGAGTGGTAAGCCGGTCTCGCGGTTTTGGGCATCGCCCAAATTCCTCGGGTCAATTTTCACCCTAAATTTGGCTATATTTTTGCTACAAATTCTAGCCAACCTTAGCTGCACCTGGTCAGTCAAAAATTTCCCGTTTGTTCTCGAACTGATCCTTTTTCAAAGCCATTTTTCAGTTCCTACTTGTTTTTCGCTTTTCAAAAATTTTTGAAAAGGGGGTTTAATTCTAGCTAGTTCAAAGTAAATGAATGCTTTCCGTAAAACAAAACAGAATTCTTGAGCTTTTCAAGATTTGCGGATTTCTCCGGATCAAACAATATCAAATTCTAATTTTTATCAAATCGTATCAAACCCCAATCAAAGCCAATTCTGTCATTGAATCTTCAGTAAAAATGACATATGACTTCCATAACTATATGGCTATGACGGATTTCCATAACTTGCATATGAATAGGCATAAGTTTCAGCAAGAAAACCTGCAAAGATGGAGTGGATTTCTCAAAAAATCTATGAATGTGCCCCCTACTAGAATTTGATGAAAAGTGAATGAGAATAGAGCTCGAACTCTAAACTTTACGACAAGCTCTAACATCTTACATTTCTACTTGATCGAAATTTTTTCGAGTCGTACCTGTGTTGCGTCGATGCTCTTGAAAGTGATCGAAACGATTTCCTTTTCGTAGGCCATCGTTGTGTTCCTAGAAAGTTCACGGTTCAGAAGTATAGAGATTTCCAACTTGTCAACATTGATTTTCTCCTCTCCGTGATACCATGCAACGAATGGTGTAGGCAATCCGTGAACTTTTGTCTCAATTTTTAGCTCATCTCCTTCTTTAACTGTGAACTCATCGGTGATCGAGTCGAAACGGGGTGGACCGACAACGGTTTCACTGGAATTTTAGATGTTTTTTCTTGAGAAATCATAATCACTGTTGCAAGTCTGTTCAATTAAAGTAATGTAAAGTAAAACTGTAAAGTAAAGCTGTAAAGTTGACTGCAGTATTCTTGTATAAAAAGTCTTCAGCTAACAAGTGTGAATACTTTTCCAGTTCTTCAATTGAGTTTATTTCTTTAGTTTCAGCTTCAGCTTCAGCTGGAAGCGAAAAGTATTCACTCTACAAATCCAGAGGCTGAGAATGAGTGAGTTAAAGAGCCTTTACACGTTTTTTTAGCCGCTTAAAATTCAAATAATCAGACCATTTGGCTACATTTAGATATTGAAGCAAGTAAACCTTTTTTACTAACCCTTGTTGTGCCTCTCTCACAATGATCTTCACCGCTTCATTGAGCGCATCGACAAAAATGTTCGCAACAAGTGAATGCGCAACCGAATCGGCAACCTTAAAGATGAAAGAGTTGAAATTCTTTTTGAAATCTCTCACCTTGACAAGCAATTTATACTCTTCTTCTTTCTTCTTGATTTCAGTAACATCTCCATCTCTATCTTCTTTGCTCTTTTTCTCAAAAACGGCTTGATCGACGTAATCCTTTGTGCGAAACTCGAGATTTACTTCAGTTGGTGGAGCCGCTTCGGTGTGTTCGGTTGACTAAAGAAATTTGCCTCTCAGTATATTTTGATGGATAAACACAAATATTTATCTCACTACAGTATGTCGGAGTCAAAAGTCAAAAGACAAGAAGTTGAAAAGCTCTCATTTTCAGGTAAAGAACATCCCTTTTGACATCTAAATACAAACTCCCAATTTCACGACTCGTTTGGGACCAAAAATTTCGATTTAAAGTTTCTGTCGATTCTGTTGTGCCCCAAATTTCTTGTAGCTGCCTTGAACGGCCAAAGATTGGCTGGGCAGCTACGCAGAAACCAAGAATTTTAGAATTTCAAAATCGTTTTATCGAGAGTTCACTGTATTTTCATTCCGACATACTGTAGTGTGACAGGGCTTTACAATATTTTCAGTTATTTTAAGTAATAGGTCTGCTACAGTAGTAACTATAATAAAAGTAATGAGCAATGATCCTTCAAGTCTTGTAAGATAAAGTGATGAAATTCAAAAATGACAGTTACCTGTGGTGGAGCGAGTTGCGTTTCTTCAGTCACTTCAGTCTTTGTCTCGATTTTTACCTAAAAAGCTTCAAGTATAAGTTAAGTTTCTTTCTAAGAAACTTCAAATATAAGTTCTTTCAAAAGCGAACCTCTTCTTTCTTGACTTCTTCTTCTTTTTTGACTTCTTCTACTTCCTTCTTGACTTCTTCTTCCTTCTTTCCTTCTTCTTCTTTCTTTCCTTCTTCTTCTTTCTTTCCTTCTTCTTCTTTCTTGCCTTCTTCTTCTTTCTTGCCTTCTTCTTCTTTCTTTCCTTCTTCTTCTTTCTTGGCTTCTCTATCTTGTTGTTGTCCATCTCCAATCGGCAATCTCAATTCAGCCGACGTGCTTGTCAATCCGTGTTCTGATTCCGCTTTGCATGTGTAAACTCCTAAATGAAATTTTTGAATGTTTAAGTTTAATGTTGTTAGTGTTAGTGTGTTAATGTTCATTTCAAACTCAAAACCAAACCATTATCTTGTTCATTTGCATCGTGAATGACCAAAATCTGAACGCCATCGCTGAATTGATGAATCTCGTACTTCTCAAGATCGCCAGAAATGAGTTGATCGTCCTGAAAATGAAAATGAAATGTAAAAAATTGGGATTGTCTTGTATAATTTTCTAGAGTTATCGTGTTTTACTTTGCTCCATTGCATTGTGAGTGCTTCGGTGGATTGAACGCGGCAAAGGAGACGGACGAGTTGGAATGAGAGAAGCTGAATAGAAAATGAAATTATAAACGTACTTGTAAAAGAACGTGATTCGAATTTCATAATTCTTTTAAGCTAACTGAAAAATATAGTTCAGCTGTTACACATTTTTTGTTTTTACCTCTTCCGCATCGATGACGATTTGGTCGACAAATTTTGGTGGATGAATGAATGAGGCTGAGTTCTGAGAATGGATTGTTTACTTGTGAAGGCTTTGAAAGTTATTTGAAACTTTGGAAGTTATTTGAAACTTTGAAAGTTAAGAAAGAGATCTTATTTGAAAGATTTTAATCTAAAAAAGTAAAAAACAGTTTAACGAAACCTCTTCCGGGATTTGACTGAGCGATTCAGTGGCCGCTGACGCCTCTTCAGTGTCTTTGTGATAACTGAGACCTTCGACTAAAAGAAAGCATTTCTTTTGAGATATTTAAGCTGATTTTTTTGTCAAATACCTGTAATGAAAGCTGATGTTTCAGCTGTTCCCAACGCGTTTTTCGCCACACATTTGTACAGCCCACCATCTTCCGGATAACATTCGGGATTGAGTAATTCACAAATGCCGCCTGAAAATGGGATGACTGAGTTTGAAAATTTCTTGAAACATATCGAATTTCAAAATTATATTGATTAAAGAACACTTACCTGGCAGAATCCTCGTGTTTACGTCTTTATTGAGTACCCATGTCTCAACACTCAAATCATCTTTGAACCATTCGACCATCGCTGATGGAAGAGCCGAGATTTTGCAACGAAGAACCATTGGTTGCCCTGAAAATGAAAAGGCTTTAATGCTTTGTAAAGCCAATGGCAACAAACCATCCAAAAATGATGACGAATGGAGTGGTTCGACAATCTTTGGTGGATGCTCGTTTTCTTCGGGAACCACCAAACGTTCTGAATCAAGGAATTTTGAAAGATGACACGTAAATTATGTTTCTTTACTGGTTTCCAAAAAAATGCGCTTGAGAAAAAGCTACCGTGCTAGCTTTTTAAATTTAGAAACCATACTCCGCTGCCAGCGAGTGATCTTGCCCCTTTGGTCCAGACTTCTAGATCTAGCAAAATTTACTACAAGGTAATCAAAAAGTTTCTTTACACTTTACAAAAGAAGCTCCATTTTTCAGCTACCGAAATTCGATCTGTGTTTTTGACTATATAGTATTTTAAAGCTGTAATTCTGGGGACCATTTCTACACCTAAACCATTCTGGATCAGAGCCTAATAGATCAGCCAGAAAGCTGGATAGTGGATGATCAATGTTTAGGATTATTTTGATCACTCGTCTTTCATCCAATCAAAATAATTTTCATATTTGCAAACGCAGAATTGAATCTATTAGGTTGGCAACTAAATAATGGCCCTCGCCCTTTTTTGATAAAATCTTTTAATCTTTGCGTTTAATCTACCCTCGCTTGTTGTTAATTGAATATTACTGAATTTCTGGTGCATTATTATACGTTTTTTACTTTCCTTGATTTGATACTTTTCAAATAATTTTGTTTAGAAATGGAAGATCTCAAAATATCGAATGCGGTCTGTCTCTGGTACGACTACAAACAAGACAAAACAGCTGCCGAATCCCACAGAGATTTATTGCGAGTTTTTGGTGATGAAGCTCTTTCCGAAACACAATGTAAGAGATGGTATCGACGGTTCAAGGAAGGGGATGAAAGTCTTGAAGATGAGCCTCGCCAAGGACGACCCGAACTTCTGCAGAACGATATTTTGGAAGCAGCTTTAAAGGAGGATCCAAGTCAAACATCACGCGAGCTAGGGGATCGATTGGGCCTTTCGCATACTGCAATCGAAAAGCGACTTCATGCATTGGGAAAAGTAACCGCAGTGGAAAGTGGATTCCGCATGAATTGAGCGAAGAAAATAAGGCTACTCGTGTTATCACCGCTGGAATACTACTAAAACTTGCGAAAAAGGGAAGCTTCTTGGATTCCATTGTCACTTCTGATGAAAAATGGATCTTTTATGATAATCGAACGCGAAAACGACAGTGGCTTAGCACAAACGAAGACCCAAAACCAACGCCGAAGCCGGATATTCACTCAAAGAAAACTCTCCTCTGTGTGGTGGAGTTCTCGGGGGGTTGGTGCATTTCGAGGTTCTCAAAAGCCGGCAAACGGTTAATTCAGAACTCTATTCGTCTCAACTACATCGTGTAGATCAAGCAATTCACTCTCAAGGACTCGAACCCTCTTCAATTCATTTTCTCCATGATAACGCAAAACCATACACTGCAAACCTTACAATGGAGAAAATCGAGGAGTTGGGTTGGAATGTTCTTCCTCATGCGCCATACAGCCCGGATATGGGGCCTAGTGATTACCATCTTTTTCGATCGATGCAACACTTTCTAGCCGAGAAAAAGTTCAATGACCTTGACGAAGTCCGAATTTCAGTGCAGAAGTTCTTTGACGATCAACCAGAAGAATTTTTCAAGAGAGGTATCCAGTTGCTCCGTCAAAGTGGAAAGAAGTAATAAAGAATGACGGAGAATACCTTTTGGATTGATGTTGATATTTGTTCATCTTGTTAATAAATTTTTTGTTTTTACTGAAAAGGGCCATTATTTAGTTGCCAACCTGATAGTTTCTAAAAATACAAACAGCTAGCAAAAATTTTCAATTTTTAAAGAAGTTATTCGGCCAAGAATGCGAATTTTCGGGTGAAACTAGTAAATTTTGCTAGATCTAGCGAAGTCTGAACCCGGGTTCTTGTGTCTTTCACCCATTTCAGACTCCAGATTGATACAGAATTCAAAATGAAGCTGAATTTCGTCAAAAAGACAGCGTGCGTACGGTAGCTTCTTAGAGGAAACCTTTTAAGAAAACACTTGGCGCACAGGTTTATTAAAATTAACTTTACGTATAGCCTCAGCCTTTCGGATTTCCCGTATAGCCTTTCGGAAGCCTTAGACGGTTTATTTGCTACTCTACAACTTCTGGAAATTCTTTAGCGGATAAGATTAGTTCAAAAACCGAGAGTTCAATGAAACGATTGGAAACTTAAATCCTAAAATTGACAGTAAACTGAGAAGTTTCATAGAATCAACCGAAATCGATCGACAGATAAAACCAAAATCATTCGCATTCTTTTTTAAAGTAACTTAAAGTTCTAAACTCTTAAAAAATCAACAAACTTTTCACACGAAAATCCGACGTCGAGGTGGTTGTGCCTTGTTCGTTCTCGGCTCGGACACTCAACTCGCCGTTCATTGAAAGATTTGGGGATAAGAATGTGAGCAAACTTTCGAAAGGCGTTGAGTCGATCAAAATGTTCTCGTTTATGCTTAGCTCGGCATTGTTCAGTCTCCAAGTGAAATGACACGGTGCACAAGGGAGTTCCAGAGCTACACCAATGCTCATTTCCTCGTGCTCCTCGACTGCAACACTTTGCAAGAATTTCTCGAATTTCGGCGCCAATACTTTCACTTCCTCGGTCCGCAATTTCCCAGGTGAAAACACTTGGCATTCGCTTGCAATAGAACCATTTTCATTCGAGACTTTGACCTTAATCGATGATTCTTCTGGGATCGCTTGTCGGAGATACAAGCTCGATTCAGTGGTTGATCGCATGATATTCGTTCCATAGCTGTTCGCAAGTTCTTCTTCATTCAAAAACCATTGAAACTTTAACGGTGGAATCCCAGCAACAACCACATGGAATTTGATCTCATCTGAGTCCAGCATTCGATGGATTTTCTCGGGTAGACTTTGTACAAGAATTGGCACTTTGCTCAAAGCCAATTGCTCGGATTTTGGTCGTTCTTGATAATCGATGACGACTTTTGTCGATGTAGAGTCTCGACCAAGAGAATTTTTCGCAATAGCTTCATATTTTCCGGGTGTCGGCAAACGGAAAGTCGCTTTCGAATGATTCTCATCAATTCGTTCAACTGTAATGTTTTTCTTGGCCTCAAAATTGTTGACAAGCCACGTGAAATCGGCTTCTGGAATAGCTTCAGCTTTCACTTGTAGCTCGAGTGGTTCACCCTCTGGATGGTGAAGAATTTGCGAGAATTTCGTGACAATCTTTGGTGCTTTCGGGAGATCTTTTTTCTGTTCAATTGTCCCTCTTTTACTCAATTTGAATTGAACTTTTTGAATTTCATCAGCGCTTTTCGTTTTCATCGTTGTGATGATCGTTTTCTCTTCAGTTTCTTCGAAAATTGTTTCCGTTGTCACTCTTGTCACCGTTTCTATCATTCCGAAATCATTTCGCGCTTCAACTCGATAATTCCCAGGTACCGGACGTTCAAAAACGACTCGGCTATAGTTCGGCGATTCTTCAATGCTCAAAAACTGGCCACTCTTCACAACAAAATCATTCACAAACCATCGGAAAGTGGCTGGGGGAATTGAGTGAACCCTAGACTCTAAAATCAATCGATTTCCCTGCTCGACGTGGATCTGATTGATGGGTGAATCGACGAATTGTGGTCTTTGTGGAATCTCTTCTGCAGCCAAATTCTTTATAACATTTCTCGTATAACTTGTGCTCACTTCAGTTTTCTCGATCTCTCGATTCTCCGATTCACTTCGACTTGAGATTGGCACAATTTGAACTCCCTCCGGTGTCTCGGTTCTCATCAAAATTGTGTCTCCAGAATGCTCCGAGCTTTTCTCGTCGTGTTCCATTGATGCAATCAACGAATCGATTTCCGGTGGTTGATCTTTTGACTTCTCGCTCTTTGATCCAATCGAAATCACAGTCTCAATATTCTCAATCGTTTCCGTGACAATTGTTCGCACTTTTGTGATCAGTGTGGATCTTCCCATATCATTGCTTGCAATCACATTGTATTTCCCCTGTTTCACTGGCGGATTCACGACAAGCGTTGATCGATTTTGCTCATTTAACACGGCTACGTGTCGACTCGGCTTCAACTCGAAACCATTCACATTCCATCGAATATCGGCTTGTGGAAGCGCCGAAACATCCACACTCAGCACCAAGCGCTCATTTTGATTCACGACGATTTCTTGTGGAAGTTGAGTGACAAAGATTGGCGCTTGTGGAAGGAAGCGAGACTCTTTTGTCGCTTTTCGAATCATAAATGGTGGTGGATTGTCCTCATCGTGGGCACGCTCTGAAAAAGGGACAAAATGGTTGAATGGAAAAGGGGATTTGAATGAAGATTACACTGCACACTAGTCAAAGATGTCAAAAAATGTCAATTAACTAGGTGCTGAGGGTTTACATGAAGTGTTGATCGTGTGGTGGAAATCAGAGTTGACAAAAAAGCCAAATTGCCAGAACAGGCCAAGCCAAAGCCAAGGTTTTCGTTGAAATTAGACCAAATTCAGCGATAAGGTTGAATCCCAGGCCAAGGCTAGTTGTAAACTTTAGGGAACCTAGGATTTGGCTAGCTTTGACCTTTTTGCCAACACTGGTGATGTGTGATTTGTAAGTTAATGCTCAAAACTGGCTAAAAGTTTTAAACTTTAAAACAAAACTGTTTAAAAGCAGTTTGAGCTGTTCTAACAAGGAAAAGACTGGTCTTTTGAACGGCGACGATCCTGAGGAATGAAATTAAAAAGCAATTTTAAGACTTAAAAGTATAGTATACGAGGCCAAGTCCTTTTTATCAAGTCAGCCATGGGAATCTCGAACTTAGCTTTTGCAGAACGCTTTGCAAGCGCGAGATATTTGGCATAGAAAATCACCTTGAATCACCTTGAATCACCTTGAATTTCGAGCTCCTTATTGAGCTGCTATACGCCACCCGAGAAACTGCTTCGGGGCTCTAGTGGATAGTCTGTTAGACTACCGAAACTATTACATTTTCTGTCCTCAAGTTCGAGTCCCGCTCTCGCCAAAATTTTTAAAAAAACGATTTCCTTATGTATTTATCATTAGATAGACAGCTTTCGAAAAATCGATCGAGAAGAAACACACCAACACACAACAACGCTTCATGCAAATATCATTCAGTTTTTTGGGTTTGGGAAAAGTGGATTGAGAATTGCTCAAATTTAATGAAAATCCAGTGATCTTTAGTGCTTTTTCTCTTTGTGCTTTTATGGTTAAAGAAAAATTGAAACCCTGTGATCGTCCATCTCTCTCAAAACGGCTAAACTCCATGTGTTTCTCCAAATGGCGGACACCTCGCGGCAGACTGTTCGATCGTTGGTGATAGTTGACCTGAAAGAATTCATTTTTGATATCTCATCTTAGATCTTAGATTCTGGACTTTAGAAGTCAACAAAAAGACTACATAAATTGGTATATTGGTATAGAAAGATTGGTATATTGCTTCACCTCATAAACTTCTTCGGTTCTCGTCCGAGTGGCGCTGTCCGATCGCTCGATAGCAGAGCTTGCAAGTTCCTAGAAAAAGATTAGAATTGCAAATGTTATGGAGCTAATATTTCAGTTGAATCTTAATCTAATAGCTGATTCATTTTTTAAGTAAACTCACCGCTCGATCAGCTCGTGACATTCGCGGAGTTCCGCCAGCGGTGAGAGCACTTCTCGCGATGTGCTCTCCTGGAGCCACTGGAGGACGGTGAATCTTCGATGAATCTGAATGAGAAATAGCTACACTTGGCTCCAAAAAAGACCTAGTTAGCTTTACTAATGAATTATTATTATAAAATCTTTCTCAAACCAACCTTTCACCACCTCAACGATTCCACTGCTGATCGCTTGTCCATGAACGTTCTCCGCCACGACACGGTACTCGCCAGAGACTGAAAAGCTCGTGTTAATTCTATTTTGATTAATAAATCCTGATTAATAAACGTAATCAACTATTTAAGTAAGCTAAACAATTGTATTTATGAAAATATTCGACAAAAACTGACCAGGCATCGGGAAACGAGCGACACATCGATTGTCTCCCGGGAAAAAGGTTTGAATTTTCCCGGTTGTATCACGGAATTCGTATCCATTCACAAACCACGAGAATCTAAAGCTTTTATAGATTCAAAGATTCACAATTTCTTTCAACTTTAAGCTAAACTTTTTGTAATTACCTGGCTGGTGGATTGGCATCAACTTCGACATCGATCACTGCTTCGGAACCCGGTTTTAAGGTCAGATTTGGAACCTGAAAAGAGCTTGGTAACAAGAAAATTAAATAAAACTTTAAAATATCAAAGAAAGTCAATACAATGGTCAATACAACCTCAGCAGTCAGTACAATCCCAAAGCTCACCTGATGAATGAAACGTGGAGCGGCGTTGATCGTGAGTGAGACTCGATCGGGTTCTCTCACCTCTTCCCTTGTCACACTCCAATCTTGGTAACGAGGAGGTGCTAGAAGTTTGATTATTGAATAAATATAGGATTTTTTTCATAGGTTTAGGCACAGTTAATGTCTCTAAAAGTGTATAAAGCACACAATTGACAGCAATGTATCCATAGGTGGTCGACGTGCCGGCCGGGTTTCTCGCCGTGCATTTGTAGACACCTAAAAAGAATGGATGAGCTGATCATTCTGATAATAAGTTGATATTCTTGGCTAGGTATTCTTGGCTAGGTATTCTTGGCTAGGTATTCTTGGCTAGCTACTCTTGGCTAGCTATTCTTGGCTAGGTATTCTTGGCTAGCTACTCTTGGCTAGCTATTCTTGGCTAGGTATTCTTGGCTAGGTATTCTTGGCTAGGTATTCTTGGCTAGGTATTCTTGGCTAGCTACTCTTGGCTAGCTATTCTTGGCTAGGTATTCTTGGCTAGCTACTCTTGGCTAGCTATTCTTGGCTAGGTATTCTTGGCTAGCTACTCTTGGCTAGCTATTCTTGGCTAACTATTCTTGGCTAACTATTCTTGGCTAACTATTCGTGGCTAACTATTCTTGGCTAACTATTCTTGGCTAACTATTCGTGGCTAACTATTCTTGGCTAACTATTCTTGGCTACCTATTCTTGGCTACCTATTCTTGGTTAGCTATTCTTGGCTAGCTATTCTTGGCTAGCTATTCTTGGCTAGCTATTCTTGGCTAGCTATTCTTGGCATTCATTTACTCAATTCAAATCTATTCCTCAAATTTTACCTCTTTCCGGATTGACGACAGTGAGCGTAGTGATATTCAGCCCATGTCGCGTTTGGAAACGGCGACGATCCTGAGGAATGAAATTAAAAAGCAACTTTACGACTTAAAAGTATAGTCTACTTGAATAAAGTTGGATTTAGATGCTTAGTATAATAAAATTTGAATACTCACTTGCATCACCGATCGATCATTGCAATACCAGTCGAAGAGTGCTGGGGGATCCGAGGCAACCTAGAGGATATTCAAATTTGCAAAGATCTCTGCAAAGAAATTTTAGAAATTCTTGTTTTATCATGCAAATAATCTAATAGAATAGTTAATTCTTGATGTTTTTTGTTTTACAATCCCAATTTCTTTTCTTTTCCTTTGCCAACCTCAACGACAAGAGTGAGAATGTCAGTGGAGAGGACACGATACGCTTTGATCACCTGGAAATTCAATTTGAATAGGTTTTTCTAATTAATCTAATGAATCTAATGAATCTAATTATTATCTAATTATCTAATTCAGCTACTACATTTTATAAACCAATCAATTCAAAACCTACTTGAACGAATCTTGGTGGAGCGGTGGTGACGAAAGATTTGATCTCGCTCTCCCAATGCTCTTCCGTGTAGCTTTCATTTTGCACGCCAGTTGATCTAGAAATTGAAAGCATTAAAGAAATATCTTTTTCTATTTTAAACATTTTGCATAAGGTACTTTTGAATGTCGCATTTGAATTTTGCAAAAAAATAAGTTTTACCTCAGCAAGTGCGTCTCAGCGAGAGTCCCAGAGCGACCCGGATAGACCATTTCTCGATCTAAAAAGTGATTTCTGGAAAGGAAGCAAATTAAAACTTTAAAAAGTTCTTTGTAAAAGGATTGTGAGAGATTTGATACACGCTCGGCTCCTTTTGCCATTGGCAATCCAACTTTAAGCTTAAATATCTTGGTGTTGAGCCGTCCAATTTAAATATTCGTCTTATCATTGGAAGCGTCAAGTTAAAGAATTCTTTAATGGAAGCTCTGTCGATTGGTACAAAGACTACTTAAATAGAATAACCCATATTTGAGCTTAAAGTTAGATTGCCAATGACAAAAGAGGCGGGGCGCGTATAAAAGGTCCGTCATCCCGCCCACTTTGCCATTGGCAATCCAACTTTGAACTCAAATATCTTGGTGTTGGGCTGTTCAATTTAAATAGTTTTAGTACCAATCGACAGAGAAAGACTTGACGCATCCGATGATACCAAGAATATTTAAATTCGACAGCTCAACACAAAGATATTTGAGCTCAAAGTTAGATTGCCAATGGCAAAAGGGGCGGGGCGCTTATCAAATGTCCGATAGCCTTATAAAAGCGCAAACCCGTTGTGTATGAGGTGGCGGGTGATGATAAGGCGGGTGTTCTGATTGGTGTCATTTCTTCATCACCTCCTCCATCAGTCTCGATTCGGAGCTCCGGTGTTGGAATCTGAAGAGCAAAAAGTACAGATGAATATAGGTAGAATATTTTTCAAAAATTCTTCTTACATCAAGTTCATGCTTAAAAATTTTAAGGTGCCTAATGTTCATTGATAAAAGTGTCGATTGCTAGGCTTACATTCACAAGTAGTAAGAAAGATTTAAAATGCTAAAAAGACTTACATTCACAAGTAAGGAAAAGCTTTAGTTTTGAAAAAAATCTACCGTACTCTTTATTTTGTAATCAATTTCTTTTTTCTTAAACAAACCGGTGTCTTCGGTTTATCGGGTGATGGGTCGGGGTCCATTGTTTTGCCCAATTTGCAGGACTGACTGAAATTTCAATTTTTTCCTTTGGACTTTTGTTCATGATGTTTAAGCAAGTTTATTTTCAATGTCCTATTCATCTTGATAGACAAAACTACAAGCGCTTGAGTTCTTTTTTCACTCAAAGACGGATCTCAGATGGATTGAGACCGGAAATCTCCTTTTCTCTCTGTTTTCTCTGGTAGTGTTCATAGCTCAAAGTGTAATCGATCGATCGATTTGAGGGGAAATGTTGAAATAGTAAAACTCTTTAAGTTTAAAGTTAAAGAAAGTTAAATACCTTAAAGGTCGAGAAGAGGAAATCTGAGGGTAGCTCTTTACTGACAAAAAAGAAAACTTTTAACTACAGAACTTATAAGAAACTGTGATTATGATTACGTGATTGAATTGTGAAATTTTGGCTCAAAGTTGATCACAGTTTCAAGCCTTAAACGTTATGATTATGAAATCTACAGCACTAAATTCGGATCTCAGAATTAAAACTTCAATTTTTTTTACCAATTGAGCTTTTATCGGTTCGATGTTCGGAATAAAATCGTTCGGGTTTCGTAGGAATAATAGATGAATATAGAAAATAGGAATAGGAATAGGTAGAATAGGGGTTGCGAATATGAGAAAAGATTGAGAAAGCTTGCTGCTCAAGTTGAGATTTGAGAGCGAAAAGAAAAAGAGAGGAAAAGATTTGGGAGAAGAGAAAGAGAAAGAGAAAGAGAAAGAGAAAGAGAAAGAGGGACTGATGGGTCTCTTTTCTCGTGTTTCCCCTTGATCTCTGAGTCTGAGCTGTGTCCATTCTTGAGCTTTTACTCGAGAAATCACTAGTTGTGGTGTGGAGAGCTACTGTAGCAGAATGTTCCCCATGCTGGTTGTGGAACATTGTGGGAACAATGTGCACATTTATCTCTAAAAATACATTTATTGACACAAATAATGTAGTCAAATGATGGCTATAGCCTCATGATCGTAATGTTGTTTACAGTAACATTGATGACTTAAGTCCTTTCATGGGTTGGGGTTGAAAGTACAAAGTAATGACCAGATTCGAACCAGCGTCCTCTCCGAGCGAACGCTCAACCAATGAGCCAAAAAAAACCATATTATTGACCGAAATATGGTTCTCAACGCAACTCGATCGGAATTCCGATTGAGTTGAGTTGAGTCTAGAACAGTCCAAAACAAGAAGATCAACTTCATGATACAAATGTTGAGTCTTTTGAGTCTTGAGTCTTTAAATTGAAGTAGCCAAGGCACAGCAAACTTGGATTATAATTAACTAGAATCTAGAACCGTTGAAAAGGAAGATTGGAAGGTCAAATTCCTTATTTTGGTTGTTCTTTGCTGTTTTGTTGCATTAAAACTTCAATTCAGTTCTTTTTCCGCATTTTTTGACTCTTTGTAATCTATCCAACAGACCTTTTATGTAGCAAATCTTTTAGATTTCACAAAATGTTTGCCTTTCAATAATGAAATCTGTTTCCCTTCAAGATAACAACAAAAATACCCTTTGATTCCCTTAATCTCGTATTGTGTTTTCCATATGTCCCAAAAATAAATCTTTCCTCGACTTTCTTCATCACTTCGTGCACGAATTTACTTGTTCCCTCCGGAGAACCGATCAAAGATTCCAATCAAATCACCAACTGTTCCCCCCGGGTTTTCCCAATCTTTCACCCTTTTTCCTTTCTCTCTCATTTCCAATCTTTTCTCCGCAAAGTCCAGCCGGAGGGGCAACTGTAAAATGCGGCAAAAGATCTCTTTTGCGACAAAAGGTGTAATACTAAGAGATGAAACTAGGCCCCATCCTTTTTCTTCCCATTTTCTCTTCTTTTTAACCTATCTTATCTATCGTTTTTCTTAAATCCTCTCATTTTTCTCCTCTCTATAACCGTCCATCCAAAAATATTTTTCCTTTCTGCAAGCGTCGTTAAAAGCGATATGTGGACAAGATGATCAACTTTCGAAATTCTAAAAGGGACTGGAAAAATATTCAATTGAGAAAATGATACTTGAAAAAGTTTGAAGATTTGCCCAATTTGAAGAGTGAAGGCAAGAAACAAGAAATGGGTTGATCCACTAGAGAGTTTACCCTAACTTCAAACTTCAAATTTTAAGTTTAATTGATTAAATCAGGTTTAATTGATCAAATCAGGTTTAATTGATCAAATCAGTTTTAATCAAAACATTACTTTCTTATTCATTAATTGAAAATTGTAATTGATAATAAAGAAGTGAAGGAATTGGCAAGAAAAAGTCGATTTCCGAAGAGGGGATTGAATCCTAAGGCAAGAAACAAGAAATGGGTTGATCCACTAGAGAGTTTACCCTAACAACTCTGACCGTAGTTTTACAAAAAATACAACAGTGTCGCTTTTTTCAATACTAACTATGTCCTCTATGTCCCTAATACAGGGATTAACTGTGAGTAATTCTCACAGTAATCATTTGTTACATCCAACCTTGATTCTTTCGTTTTCGAAGATTCTTTCGAAGACTAAACAATATCCTAAAGTATCTATTCAATACCGAAAAAAGCCAAAAGATTGTGATTGATCTGGAATTCTAATTGATCTGGAATTCTAATTGATCTGGAATTCTAATTGATCTGGAATTCTAATTGATCTGGAATTCTAATTAATCTAGAATTCAGATTGGTCTGGAATTCAGATTGATTTGGAATCAGATCAGTGAGACGCAATTCCACAATTAAATCTTGTTTTTTCGAAACATGCAATTTCCAAACATTTTGCGAGATTTTCGAAAATTGTGTGTAATTTGAGGACCTTCGAGTGAAGATGGGGCAATTGTTGGCAATTTGTCAGTTGCGCACCTTTCTCGTTGAGAAGGGTCACATTTCAGATCTATTTCATTTTCCACAAGTAAACTTTATTTGTTTAGATTTGATTCTTATTCTACGCTATACATTTTTCATATTTTGTACAATTGCATCTAGTCTAACTGCTTAGTGTTGAGGATTTTTATGGAAAATATGATTGATGCTCAACACATTCACGACGATCCGGCTCACCGGTGAGTCGGAAAGACCCATTTCGATTTGAAAGACTTGTGCGGTGTGATAAAATGGAAAAAGGCTAAAGCTATTAATAAATTAAAGAAATGAATGGCAAAGAATTTGGAGCCGAGGGGGAATTCGAACCGCCGACCGTCCGCGCCGACCGTCGCATCCGTACATGCTCCACCACGGAGTTATCGGCGCCTTCTTTGCTCAAGAAGCCGACCGTCCGATTATCGGGTACATGCTCCACCACGGAGCTATCGGCGTCTTCTTTGCTCAAGAAGCCGACCGTCCGCTTACCGGGTACGCTTACCGGGTTCTTGCTCCACCACGGAGCTATCGGCGTCTTCTTTGCTCAAGAAGCCGACCGTCCGCTTACCGGGTACGCTTACCGGGTTCTTGCTCCACCACGGAGCTATCGGCGTCTTCTTTGCTCAAGAAGCCGACCGTCCGCTTACCGGGTACATGCTCCACCACGGAGCTATCGGCGCTTTCTTTGCTCAAGAAGCAATAGGAAAGACAAGGAAGAAAGAGAGAGAAATACCCGAGTCTTTCATTAGTGAGATCTTAAGTCTTGATTTTCATTAGTGAAATTGATAAAAGCGGGCTTGGCAGATAAGTTTAAAGATATTTGTAAGATATTCAGTTTAATGTACCCGTTTCCTATCTTGCACTATTTCTTGAGAGGAACACACTCTAATAGTGATATCAGCAAAGTGCTAACTATAAGTACTGTTTAACTATAACTATGATTACTGACAATGTATTTCTCCCAGATTTGTTTTGTCACAATGTCTCTAATTCTTTAAAGACTTTCTCAGCAAAAGAGTAAAGAATTTTCCTTGGCCAAAGTGCCGGAATTGCTTCATCGAACTTTTCTCACTTGTTCAGGAAAAGAGTAAAGTATTGACGAAGATCTGTGGCTCACTTGTTTTGATTGATTTGACTTCAGATCGAAAAAGCTGCCTTTTACCTTAAGAAAAGACCAATTCTTTTCTTGATACGATAATTGGAAAGAGACGGCTGTTCCCTTTTTTATTGTCTATTTTGTCTTATTGTGAATGAATGTCTTCTTTTTTTTGTTCTTTTCTTTTTCAATCCAATCATTTCGCACATCATGCGGTGAGATTGCTTTACACCAAATCACAGTAATTGAGAAAATCTTACTTGTACAAGTCTTTGTTCATTCTTTAAACTTTTGTATTTTTGTTAGCTTCTATTTGTCTATGGCTACTTCTATTTGAAGTCTATTTGAATCTATTTGAATGGCTAATTCTATTTCAAGTCTGTTATAGTCCAATAGGATTCTATCGGACTTGCATGTTTGTTTTGATGTCATTGTTAATCAAAGTCCAATTTCAAAGCTTCAAAATGACTTTTTAGGGGAAAAATTAGCTTGTTCTTTCTCTTTCTTCCTTTTGTTTCCTATTTCTTCTTCAAGAAAGAAGGCGAGAATAGCTCAGTGGTAGATCAGCTTGGTAAGCACGAGGTAGCTTGGTAGCTTGGTAAGCAGAACGTCGAGGTTTCCATTCCCCCTCGGTTCCAAATTTCTTTTTTCTTTTCTTTACTTTATTATGGATAAAGTTGTGATCGAATAGTGATCTTTAACATATTTAGAACAATGTGACGATGCCGTATTATTAACGCAACGATTTAAGCTCATTTTCATACCAAAATTTTAGAAAATTTCTCTAGTTTCAATACTGAAAAGCGATCGAAAAAATATTGTATTTTGGTAATTAAATCGACTTGAATAAATCGATTTTTCCCAAAAATAGTCCCTAGTTTTTATGATAGGAAAACAATTATATGGCCTGAATGATCTCTAAAATCACTAAAACCAATGAAAATGTAAGTCTAGACTAATGTATTCGGTCTGCATGAGCTGGATTACGGTATTTAGTCTAGATTGTGGTATTCAGGCTAGAATAGGGTATTCAGTCGACATTAGCTGGATTACGGTAGCTGGATTACTAGCATTCAGCCCATGTTTAAAAGTAAAATCGACATTTTATTAGCGAAGATAGAAAAAAAATGTGAAATTTGGAATCAGCACCCTTGAAAGCTCCAGGAACAAATTTTAGGCCTTTTTGCTGACAAATATGTCTTCGTCGTGAAGTTTTAAACTCAAATCATATTGACTTGACATTGACTTTAAACTCAAATCACATTTAAACGCAAATCACTCAAATCACAAGTGAAAAATTGAATAAAATCGAATAAAATAAGACTATTAAAGTCCCAACTAAGAAACGAGTCTGTTCTTGGACTCGAACAAGAACAGACTCGTTCTGTTCTTGTTCGTTCTGTTCTTGTTCGTTCTGTTCTTGTTCGTTCTGTTCTTGTTCGTTCTGTTCTTGTTCGTTCTGTTCCTGTTCGTTCTGTTCTTGTTCGTTCTGTTCTTGTTCTTGTTCTTTCAAAATTAATTCTTCAAACAATTTTCAAGCTTTGATTTAAATCTAACGCCATATAGATTTGATTTTTCTAAAATTCCACCAAAAACTTCTTCCTGGTTTAAAAAAAAATCTTTTTTTCCTTTTCCCAAAGATTATTGAGGGTCATGTGTCATTATGATCGCTCAGAAGAAAGTTTTTGATGACTGGAAATGTCTCTTTTCATATTTTGTGGCGAGATCTTTCGTCTTTCATTCAAGTACCGTATTTCTTCGAATAGAAGACCGGGTAAAGAGTATCATCGCGTACTCCTGCGTAGCAGTCCTTTTTAAAATTTCTTTTCTGCATAAAAGCTTTCAATCAAGTGCTATAGAACTGGAAAATGGCTCAAAAATACCACATGAGCTAACAGATTTTTGAGCCATTTCCCAGTTCTATAGCACTTGATTGAAGGCTTTTATGCAGAAAAGAAATTTTAAAAAGGGCTGCTACGCAGGAGTACGCGATGATACTCTTTACCCGGTCTTCTATTCGAAGAAATACGATAATAGATTAGACTTGAAAAGCAATTTGATGATTTTGAAATAAGCAAGAAAGATTCTTTTCTTTTTTTCTTAAAAATTTGGTTGATTTTCTTTTGTTTTTCTTTTGTTTTTCTTTTTCCTAAAAGCGGGCACCTGTTCGATAAAAATGGCTTCTCATCAATGCTTCCAACAACTGGTCTTGTCTCAATTTTTGAGAATTTTCCTTTTTTTCTTTTGATTTCGAGTTTACTCAGTTTTTGAGTTCAAGTTAAAATTTACATTTAAATCTAAAATTATTATACAATTTAAAGCGCTTTATGGATCTATTCAATAAGATTGTGGGCAGAAAATCGCGCTCAAAGTCGCCCGTCAAAAAAGAATCGACGAGGAATCAACAAGTGAGCGATTTTTGAGCAATTTTCGAGCATTTATTGGTAATTAAAGAGAGAATCCCTATCATTTTGACAAAAGAAATCGATTTTTTTTCAAAGTTCAATAAGCTGTCTAACAAAAATCCAAACGAAATTCCCAGTTCCCAACACCGATCTCCGCTTCTTATTCCCAGCAAGCCGCTCATCAAATATCTCCGAAGTAGCGACAAAATTGGCCAAAGGCTTTAATCAAGCAAAAATTTAGTCATATCCCGAATGGCCGATTCAGTCACAGTACTCATTCAAGGGTTAACCCAAAAAATTACCCAAATGCGACGCCGATGCGACATGGAGAACGGGGAGAACGAGGAGAACACTATCCGGTACCGGTAAGTGAATTGGAATAAGCTTTTTGACAAATTTGAAATTGCTTACAAGATATCGTACTTGTGACGCTTACACCTTTGCATTGAAAATCAATTTGCAATTTGCAAAAATTGCGATTTAAGAGTCACAAGTATGGAGAGCTTGTGACTCTTGCGCCGCCTATTTTGAATCTTATAACTCATTTTGCAGACCATTATTACCACTACATCCTTATGAGTCAGACTCATTTTCTATTTATTCTTTGCGATCAGATCATAATAAATGGAAATTGCCTCCTTTGAAAGAAAATTGTACTGGGCAGAGTGGACGGCTTAAGAGTCGCAAGAACCCAAGATATGAAGCGTTAGTTTGAGAACTGTTAGAGGTCGCAGGACTTTGAATGAGTTCTAGTATTTGGCTATGGATTTCTGTGTGCATATTTGGTCAAAAATTTTTTAAAAAAACAGTAGCTAGATTCAGATTGTGCATAAAGCATTCAGATTTTTTTTTTCTTCAGGAATACCCTCCCGTTTGTTATCTTCCCCTTCCACCGTCGCCCCTCTTTGTGAGTCGAAACACGTCCGGCAACAGTAATGCCTCAGCGGTTGGTGAAGTTTTGATTCTAAACTTGTAAAACAGTTCGGAATAGAATAGGAATAGAATAGGAATAGAATCGGTAGCTAACATTTTCGGGCAAATTCTGGTAGCTCTACATTTTAGCCCGCTAGAGATTTGCTGCGGAAATTGGCATTTATCCAGTTCTGGTTAGCGGACAAAGATGTAAAAGTACTCAAATCTGAATCAGTTCTATCTCTCATTTGTGCTTATTTCACAAAGACCCTCTTTTATGTCATTTTTTCAAGTTTTTTCTCTCTTTGTCTCTGTTTTTTGTCTCGAATGGATCTCCGCTTTCAATCAATCCTCTCACTTTTTCCCTTTTTCCTCATCCAAAAACCCTTTTTCCAAACTAACACTCTGTCATTGAAAAGAGACAAAGCAAAAAGGCGATCTCACATCTCACTAATCTTTCCAGACATAATACTTTGCACAAAAAAATTATTGGCTCTTTCGAGTAATTGGTTTATTCCCTGTTTTCTATTTTTCAAATTTCTATGAATCAATATAATCGGGGACGATCAAAGAATACCCGATTTGACCAAAAATGGCATCACCCTTACGTATTCTTCGCGTATTTTTCTAAAATCATTGTCAAATTTTAGGAATCGGTGCAAACGTGGAATTCGGAGAAAAATGCTGAAGAATCATCGTTTTTCCTCAATGGAAGTGAGTTGCGAAAAGAATCAAAAGTTTTTAGTGATTCTAATCGGCTAGTGATTTGTACTTTTTGCTCAAGCGCCCTCTCTGGCACGTTAAAATTCTCGTTTTTCAAAAGATTATCTTACAACAAGTACCTAATAGAACGTAATCTAAATCGATTTAAAATATAAAACTAAAAAGCATTCTGCTGATAGAATTAATCTTCAATTTCGACTAAAGAGTTTTAAGAGATTCGCCAAATTTAGCACACACTCCTACACAGCCAGGAGAATTCGGGGGTTTCCTCGATTCAGCGCCACAAAGTCCCGTTCAGTCATCCGGCTACCGGGCCCGTTCACATTCCCCACAAAAGAGACATGACATACCCAGCCAATACAATGAAATGGCAAGGATAGCGTCGAGGTTGGGAAATTAGGTTTTACACAAGTTGCAAAGTCACTTCAGATCAAAATCACCTCAAAAGAAAAAGGCGGTCGCGCGAACACTTGACTACCTCAACAGTCAATGTCACCTTGAAGGATGCTCGGCTACCGTAGTCGTTGATGTGAGTTGGTATTAACACATTTGCGACAGGCTTTTTGGGTGTACAGTCGCGTAGTCGTTAACTGTTTTGCGGATAATTTGGTGTAAATTCAAAGATAAACTAAACTATTTTAGTCATGATAGCCCTGAATCTCTGCTTGAAAACTATTAGGTTGATGCAAAAGTCTTTTTCATTTTTTTCGTACTTCCGTTAAAAAGTAACAAATGCACCAATTGAACAACGGTTTATTGCATTCGAAAGGCCAATTATTTTTCTGCAAAATGACATTAAAACGAGTTTAAAATGTCTTACGTCTAGATTTTTTGAGAGCCTGAAGTCGGGTAGTCAAAAAAGGCGACGGCTCGATGATGCATTTTAGACGCTTTAGCTAAGGAAACCAATCTTGATGTTAATAAATAAAAGATAGAGCACAAAAAGTTAGATATTTTTTCAGATTTTCAGAGAAATTGATTCAGCCAATTTCTTTATAAAGGTTTTTATAGATTTTTATGAAAAACCCGTTTTCACTCTCGAATTTGCTTGAAAGTGAACCCAAATTGACTTAAAAAGATGGGAAATTCAACAATAAACACTTTTCATTTAGAGCAAACCATAGGTTAATTGATGACTTTGTTATTTTTCAAAAGAAGTACGAAAAAAATGAAAAAGACTTTTGCATCAACCTAATAGTATAAAGTTACCAAGAACTTTCTGAAAAACAAATAACAACATAAACTGTAAGCTAACATTGAACCAGAATGAAATTTTTTTGCAAGATTTTCCCCTTTATAAACTGCCCGTTACCGTAGTCCCGACAAAAACTTTTAGACGCACATTATAGAATCCAGCCGAACATTCAAAATGCACAAAATCATATTACTGTTGAAAAGATTTAGGCGACAAAGTTTCTCGTTTGTAAACATCAGCTATCGCACGCTTCCGAGTACTTTCGGAATGTTTTCAACGCAGAGGGTGGGCAAAATGAAGTGAATGTGGTGAGTTGAAGCTCAAGGTAAACTATTCTGAAAATGAAATGTGAAACTTGCAAAATTTAGAGTTTTTAGAGCATAAAGTTAGAAGCAAGTAGATATTGTACCAAAAGATTGAAAGTATCCCTGACTTTTCATTCAAGGTTGTCTCCGATATGTCCGTCCCTTCACCCGCCACACAATTTCGATGGTTTTTGGAGAGTTCTGTGCCATGTCCCGGATTGAAAGATATTTCCGGTGAGAAATGCAAATGAGTGATGAACTTGAACATTTCAGATGAAACCCTCGAAACATGTATGCGATTGTCGAAAAGATTTCAAGCGATCGGTCTCGAGGCTCGGTGTAATAAATATATTCATCAGAATGTGAGTGCAAAGTTCGTTGATTTGAACAGAAATTTGCAGGCTTTATCAAGGCAACCAATTGTTGCTTTATGTTGGTTGAACTGGTGTCTAAAGCATCGTTTTGATCTCCAAGTTCAGCAATCATGTATGCCGGCTGTGGCTCGGTTGGTCTTGATTTTACAGCATGGTAAAAATATCCATTTAACACATTCCCGACGGGGGGGTGGGACAAATGCAATCTTTTTTTCGCTGAAAAAGGCCTTAGGAAAAGCCGTAGAGCATCAAAAATGTTCCCACAGAAGGGAATCGTATGCGTAGATTCCGAATTTCGACAAATCACGAGCACGTGTGGCTGACTGGTTAAGTGTCTTTTATCTTAATCGGAAGGTCGAGGGTTCGAACCCCACATGCGACATGGTCACCCCCTTCGGATTTCCTTTCCCTTCGGGTTGAGAGGTTTTCTGGAGGGCAGTCTGGTGGCTGTGGCCCCAGTTCTTTAAAGCGACAAGCCACTCCTTCATCGTCATCTTCCCTTCACCACCAAAAAAGCTATTTAGTTCCCCACTGAGCTTAGGGTTAGGGAGCCGTCTGTCATGACGTGGGTTAAGTTAAGATATAGCCTAGTATTGTGTGTGTCGTTGTATTGTGATTGATATATTTCGTGTATGCGATAAATTCACCACTGGTAGCCCCAGTCGGTATTTTTAAAATCACACCTCGCTGACACGTCAAATTAGGCTAAAAGGCAAAAACTGCGGAAAAGCGTTAAGTTGCGTAGTTTTTGCCTTTTAGCCCAAATTTGACGTGTCAGCGAGGTGTGATTTGTCGAAATTCGGAATCTACGCATACGATTCCCTTCTGTGGGAACATTTTTGATGCTCTACGGCTTTTCCTAAGGCCTTTTTCAGCGAAAAAAAGGCATGCTTTTTGCCGGATGCGCAAAAAGGTTGCATTTGTCCTCAGTTAACGACTACACGATTGTACGCCTAAAATACCGTCGTCGAGCTTGTCTAGCGTCAAAATTTTTAGCTAAGAAACCAAATCATTCGAATTCTTCGCGTGATTTAGTTATTTCAGATTATCTTTAACAAGTTTGGAACAACATCGCCACATGCTTACCGAAAAACTTTTCGGCGATTTGTTAGCAGCCAAGTTGAGAGCCTGTTATGACAAGGTGAGAGAATGAGAAGTATTTGTAAGAATGCAAAGTTTGGTTGAATTAAACCGTATCAATGTAGGCGTCCTCGTAAGTGCCATACAAATTCCTACATCATAATAAAACGCTATCAAATAATGAAGAAGTGCAAAGCCCGTTTTCAACTGTATATTTTCAGGCGGTTTCTGTCTTTCAAACGATTCATAAAATGGATCATTTCACTTGTGAATTACCCCAATGCCCTCGATGTGGACGAACAAAAGATCACATGAAAGTGAGAGTGCTCGCCAATCCATGCAGGTAAAAGCTTATTATATCCCATTTTTGGCATGTAAAACTAACTCTTAAGAAAATAAATTATTAATAAAATAAATTAATAAAACCATTTATTCCGTAAAATATTAAAAAAAATCGAGACGAGTATCAATCAACGTTCTGCACAAGTACTAGAGTCAGATTTTCAAGGCCAACTTCTTGAAAAGTTCGTAACCATGGAGTGATTGGGTGAGAAGCTTCAGGACTAAAAGATAAAATTGAAGTCTGAAAGCTAAAGTCTCTAACAAGTACTTCTTAAGGCCAGTTTAAGCACGCGTAATCAAATTGCTAAAAAAGAGGCTAGCCTTTTAATGACTTTTCATAACAAATTATTGAAGATACCTTAAATTCCCGTTCGATAGCTGTTCGATTGAGGTTTCTTTCCCAATCACATCAGCCAAGTGATGAGCCATTATAGTTCGAAACCATTCGGGTAGAGAATCAATCTCCTAAAATATTAAAAGACATAAAGTATGCAAATAACCTATTGAAAAAGTTATGCCGTTATAAAAGTTTACCTTTCTCGGATAGATGAACAGTTGAAAGAAAATTGGACAAGATTCGTGGAGATGAGCAGCTTCGAAGAGTCTCTAAAAAAATTAAATAAAGAATCCTTTCTTTTAAAAAAAACCTCGATTGGATCGTGGGGAGAAAACGAGTGAATTTTTCGGGCACCATTCGGGAAACGGAACTAAAATAAAAATAAAAAGTTAATTTTTGATATTGCTATGTTTGATACCTGTATCGTGATTCTATCTTGCTTGTCGCATCGGTAATTCTCTTCACGCAACGTTGCACGATAGCAAGAAATCACCTAATAGTAAGAATAGAAAAGTTCTCGAGAAGAAAATTACGACTAGCTAGGTTTGCTTATAAGAATATTCTATTAGCTTAAACTGTGCTTAAAACTAAACTACGACTAGCTAGACTGCTTATAAATATGTATTAGAACATTCTATTATCTTAAACTGTGCTTAAAACTAAACTAGGCTAATTCTAAACACTAACAAAATAGCGCTGCTGCCTTCGAAGAGCCCATTCCCGTGTCAAGCGCTCTTTCTCGAGTTTAGCCGTCCTCTTGGCACGATCGACCTTAAAGAAAAGAAATAATTATTGAACTTGTTATAGTAAAAATCTATCTAGAAAATGATTAGTACCTGAAAACTGGCTAACAATAAAACTACAAGTTTAAACTAGTCTTTTATCGACCCAAGTAAAGCCTAAGCCTAAGCCTAGCCTACGCTCTAAGTTAAAGTAATTGTTCGTTCCCCAACAACGAAAAACATTACTAGGTCCTTAACATAAGATGATACAATTTAAGAAATGAAAATCAAATTTAAAACTGCCAACCTTAAGTGATTCCTCGTATTCCTTGTTTTGTTCTGCTCGTAGCTGTCGTTCAGCCGCATAGCGTCTAAATAAATTAATTACCGTAAACACTGTAATAGTACTCCACCCCCATAATGACGGTGCGGAGTGTTGCGTAGTCTAGCTTTGAACGAGTTTTTCTCGACACTGGTTTATGCTACAATGCGCGCTTATGTATCAAAAAATAGCCCTGAATTTCAGCTATTTTTTGATACCAAAGACGCATTTTTGAAAGTACGGGTGCTTTGAAAAAAATGAAATACTAAAAAACTTTTGCGACTACGCGACTGTACGAGGGGGGTGGGGTACTATTACAGTATTTACGGTAGGTAAAAACCTTAAAAAATAAAACTGACTTCGTTCGCATGTTGTTAGCCATTAGAAAAAACCAGTCAAAATGAGCAGTAAACAAGAAATGATTGAAAATAACAAAAATTTCTTCGCCGTAGCTTTAAATGTAAATTGAAGCAAATCGATTAAATGCATATTTCAGGAAAATGGTTGGCTGTGAGCGCTGCATGATGGACTATGGATGTGAGATTGAAGCAAAAGCAGTTACCGATCTTCAAGCATATTATCAATGCCCACACGCACTTCTACCATTGAATGACGCGACAGGTTTGTAGAAATATCGGGGAAGGATTATTTCTTTTTCATTGTGAAAGATTAAAGATCGCGCGTTAACTACACAACTTTTTCTATATTCAATCTTTAAAAAATTGGATCTAAAAACTAAAGTAATCTAAAAAATTGGATTATTTATTCATTTCTAATTTCAATTACAGCTTATTTAACCGAGTAAATCATTTAAAATCGCTAGTTAACTATTGGTTGATTCTTGTATTCCCATAAAAATGCCACTGAATCAAATTTACTCAAATCGGTTTACACAAACATTTTTTCGTTATTTGCAAAAAACATTTATTTAGAAGAGTGTCACTGTCAGACATCAATCCTTTCTTCACATCTCCGATCGGCAGCTACGTCGAGTGATCGGACGAGAGCCACAAGTCGACCACGCCAAAGAATTCCCAGCGAAAGATCACATAAGCCATAGTTCGTGGGAAAAAATAAAATTTTATCAACTTCTTTTCAGAGCAACGCTTTACAAAACACTTTCGAATAAACCTCTAGTTGTTAATTCAAGCCAAAATCATCGCTAAACGTTCAAAGAAAAAGCATTCCGATTATTGTCTGTAAGGGATCATTCTTTGTGTGCAGAAGAGTGGTTCTTTTCTGTGAAATCTTATTTAACCCATTCGAAACCGCAGCTTTTTTTCTTTTTTTTCGTCTACGGACCAAGCCCTTTTTTGACATTTTTGACTCCGAATCAGTTTATTTATGGTTGGAAAGATGAAAGAGAGTCTCCTACACCATTTATTTTTGATGACGAACGATTTGGATTTGACTTCAGTACTTTTCAAGATCCTATCGATTATTGTTCTTATTTTATCGACGACAATATTTTAGTAGGCGAATCTAATAAACATGGAAAAAGGAAAACAAACTGGCAGGATTTCGATGCAAAATCTTTCAAGCTCTTCCTGGCTTCAAATGGGAATCGTCAAATTACCGAGGATTCGTGACTACTGGAGTAGCAGGCCTGGATTAGGAGGATTTTTCCACATGTCCCACATTATGTCAAGAGCAAAATTTGAATCTATTCTTCGCAACCTGCGTTTTTGTGATAATGAACTGGATCCTGCAGGAGATCGGCTTTATAAGATTAGAGCTATTATGGAACAAACCAGAGACTGCATTGATTCCGGGTAAATATGAAACATCTTTTTTGCCCACGTAATTTGTAGATCTGCTACAATTGGAATATACATGTAATGCTGAAAAACAGCAAAAAAAAAAAGCAATTAATTGAATGAAAATAGCTCAATTAGCGCTGCAGCGAATAATCGCTGCAGCGGTCCGTTCCTGAGTTTTTGCTGCAGCGATTATTCGCTGCAGAAGTTTCGAATGGGTTAATGTTTTGATTTGAATGTCTGATTTTCTTGTCCCGCCTCTGAAAGATCGCTTTTAAGATAAAGGGACGGATAAAGGGACGGAGCTCACTTTACATTAGCTCTTTTCATATTCTTTCGTATATTCCTTTCGTATTGCCTTTCGTATCGCTATGAAACACTGAGCCAACGATTGATTCTATTTTATTATATTTTCTCGCTAGATTAGTATTGTGCTAGATTCAGAATAAATATCTAATAGTCATCGTCCCTATCGGTATTCTCTCACACACTGCACACTTTGAATGTTTAACATCTAAAAATATTATCGATTAAAGTTCTAGATAAAGCGTTCCTTTCTTCTTTCCCCTTTGTCTTTCCCTCTTTCTCTTGGCAATTTAAGGTACCGGATAGCTCAGTGGTTAGAACAATTACCTTGAAAGGAAAAGGTCCAGGGTTCAATCCCCTACCTTTTCTTGCCAATTCCTTCACTTGATTATAGACATATTGTGTTAAAAGGTTGAACAAAACAAGCTAATTTTGATCAAATGGTTGACTCCTTCAAAGTTCGAACCACTGAACAAGATTGAGAACCTAGAATAAATGAAAAATTCACAATCGATAGATATCAAAGTCCGATAGCACTTTGACGATTAGAATTTTTGTTTAGGTTGTTCTGCATCACCCCAACATTTTAAAGTTTCAGATGTAACCGAATAACGCATCCTGTCACGAATCCTGTAACGAATCCTGTAACGAATCCTGTAACGAATCCTGTAACGATCCTGTAACGAATCCTGTAACGAATCCTGTAACGATCCTGTAACGAATCCTGTAACGATCCTGTAACGAATTCTGTAACGATCCTGTAACGAATCCTGTAACGAATCCTGTAACGATCCTGTAACGAATCCTATAAAAATCCTGTAACGAATCCTGTAACGATCCTGTAACGATCCTGTAACGAATCCTGTAACGAATCCTGTAACGATCCTGTAACGATCCTGTGACGAATCCTGTAACAATCCTGTAACGAAACCATTTCTTCAAAGCTCAAAGCCAAATATTTATCAAAGCAACATGCCAATTCTTGTAAAGAATTATTGCTTCGACGGTGGGAAAAACAAATAAGTAGCATTCCATCACAGCATTACGAACTAAAAGGGCAATGCAAAGTAATCTTGTTATTTTCCCCATTATTTATTTGTTTGCTTAGTACATCTTCCATGAAAGTTCAACGAAAAACTTCATAATTGTTTTGTCTCTGAGAGAGAGTGTCTGTATTCTGCCCATTTCCCCAATAAAAGCGAACTGATTTTGGTGTTTGGTCAATAAATTCCCAAAAAAAAACTTTGCGGGAATTCAGAAGCCATTTTAGATAAACTATGATCGTAATACCACCCCAAACAAATCTCTAAACTTCTTTTTTTTAGTTTACATTTCTTTTGCTCCCCGAAAAATCCAGTGTTTATAAAGAAGCAGAAATGAAAAGAGACACACATGTGATCCTCTCAAACGTTTAAGGGCTTCATTCCCACATCGAAGTGCCCATTTTTCAAATTGTTCAACGGACGTGCAGTCAACTGTTCATTTTCCTTCATTTGCCCTTCATTTCCCTTCATTTTCTCCTATTTGTGTTGTCCTTTTTGTCTCTTTGAAATTTTGACGATTGATGACCTCTTTTCTTTCGCAGATCCGTTGAAAGTGCCCTCTTTGTGTCCACGTTGTAACGCTTGTTTGGCTAAAGTGGAAGATATCCACATTGAGATTTGTTTTCCCATAAAGATGTCTATATTTTTAAAAAGTTTCTTTTAAATTTAATGCATAACTTTACAGTACTGCATAACTTTAATGCATAACTTTACAGTACTCACAAAAATGAACCGTTTCTTCCTTTTGTGCATCGTGTTGGTCGCCTTGTTGGCCGTGGTTTCCGCGGATTTCTCGTGCTTCTTCGGAGACACCGTCTGCAAGAAAGTCACTTGCTCGGTGAGTTAAAGATCTACAATCATTGAATTATTGTTAGTAATTCGTAGATTGTATATATTGCTAATAGATTATGATAAAAACTCTTGTGATCTTCAGGGTTGCACAATGGCCACTTGTGTGAATGGAGACTGTGTCTGTGCGCTTTGCTGATTCAACATTTCCTCGATTAAAGTAAAGAAATATTTTTGATTTTATGTAAACACTCCTCAAATAAACATTCATTCAGCAAGAAAAATGCAAAAAAAAAACCAAATTACTCAAGTTTGATCAAACAATTTTAGGGAAGGGCTAAAAGAACAACTTTGTACTTTGTAGAACAACTTTTTTTACTCTAATGAAATAAGGTATTGATATTTTACAGCATATTAACAGTAATTTCGTTTAAGCATTTTTTGCTACAGTATTTTTCTCTTCTTTTAGCGCTTTTTAGAATAGTTTCAAAGAGGTTTCAGATAAAATTTCAGAAAATTCAAAACTCAGATTTCTAGCAAAAATTCAAAACACGAATACTCGCTGAATTAGTGATGAGCTTCGCGTTTACACGAAAATTTTATCAGAGTGCACGTTTAGAAATGAGTAACTTTCTTGATCTTTTAGTTGTTTTGGTTAGAACTCATTGAAAATCTAACGATAAATAACACAATGCTTATTAGCGTTAAACTTTGAGTTTTGTTAGATGTTTGTTTTGTTTTGTTTGTTAGAGTTAGATGTTAGTTTTGTTAAGTTCTTGTACATATAGGTAAAACTTTGTGTAAGATTGCTTTTTGAGTGTTCTCAATCTAAATTACTGGTGCTATAGAAGTTGGGGAAGGGGCAGTCTGAAACTCGTTCAAAGAGGCTGAAATTTTGCTCCCTGGGGTTTTCGACTATACTGAATCGATTGGTGATAATTTAAAATAGAATTTCCAAACAGATTTTAACACGTTCCTACATGTCAAATAACGCCTTTAAAAGAAGCACCTGAGACCAAAGGAGCCTCAATTTTAGTTTATTTTCTTGACAAAAGCATAGTTTTTGTTTTTTGAATGACGGGAATTGCTGTTGCTACAAGACTTTATTTGCGGGAAATCAATTTATTGATGGGGTAGTCTAAATTAGCTGTGAAGAAATCTGATGACTTTGAAACCTGCCGAGCGACCGAGGGCTCCTCTGGAAAGATCGACCATGTCCCAATCGCGGTCGAGCAATGCGCCTTACACAAGAAGCCGATGGAATTAGACGCAAATTGGAAAGCTATTGTAGAGCTTGCCCCATCAAAATTGAATGGATGAAAGTAATGATTAGTTTAACTTAATTTATTAAGTGTAGCTTAGGGTACTTTCTTTGAAACACTAAGGGCGATCGTAAGCCTGCTTCGTATTTGTGGTATTTGTGTTCGTTGTAGGGGAGTCGAGATATGGAGTAAAATAGAAAAGTGCGCTAAAGTGCCATTTTGACTATACAAAAACGGCACTTTATCGCACTACTCTTCAAGACTGTTTTTCTCTATGTTTTTATCGGTGAGTATACAAAAAAATTCCACTTCTCTTTATTCAAATTTAATGAGGATTCTTTTAAAAGCAATCACAAGTCGATTCAATTTCCATACCTCGAGTTATAGACCGTCAAAGTTGATTGACTTCTGTAGGTAAGTACCGTATTTACTATATTAGTGGGGTCCCCCACTATTTTTTCAATCCCCTTCCAGACGCCCCACTATTAGAGAGGACCCCACTATTAGAGAAATTTAAAAGAACATAAAACCAAAGTTTTAAATTAAAAAGATATCAATTTTTCTCCGAAATTCTTGACAAAACAAGTTTGGCTTCATACTTTATTTAGCTTTAACCGTAACAAAACATTAACAAACAGTAAAAGAACTAATCCAAGAGATCAACAATTGATGTATCACTTTCGTTACCAATATCTTCTTCCAATTCGAGAGGACCCCACTATTTTTTCAACCCCCCTCCAGACGACCCCACTATTAGAGAGGACCCCACTATTAGAGAGGACCCCACTAATAGAGTAAATACGGTAAGTCAACTTTGACACAAATTTTCTCTATGTTCTTACACATGAGAGTACAAAACGAACTGCTGATACAACGAACTGCTGCTGTTGTGGCTGCTTG